ACCGGCGCTTGCGCATATCTAATTAATCCACGTCCAATAACATTACTGACGTATCGTAACGATATTTTTATCGATACGTGCTCATGTTATCTGTCAAGGCTATTGTTATGGGAGGTCAGATACCACCTTAAATCTAGCTTTCAGGCCAAATTATAGGCTTTAGTCACACCGACAACATGATAAAATATCTACAAAAAATATTAACAAAAAAAATAGGTTATTTCAAGTAATTCGGTGTCAAACACATCCATGTGCGATAAGCACACCAATTATTTTATTATCAAATCAAACTTAGTCGGTAGATAGCGCTCGCCGGTGACGGACGTCTGTTGGTATTGTGACAATTGTGTTTGTGCGTTTATTCGTTTGTGAGTGCTATGGAGGCTGAAGCTGAATTGTGCCGGTCTTGGGTATGATCCTAAATAATATTGACAGTGTAAATTCATTCTGGTTATCTTAAAATATCACTTATGTGAAAATGTTTACTGTTACATTAATATTTGACTTCAATTCAAGGTTGATGTTAGAGGATAAAGGTTCCAACGCATCCTTAGTAAGTGTAGTATTTGTAGCAGTTGTAGAAAGTATTTAACTTTGTTATTTTTAACTTTATCTCTCTTGGAATTATGTTTAAAATTCGCTAAAGAAACTCAGGATAGTTCTATTTGCTGCCGTCTATGCCTTCTACAAATAAAATTTTCGGCGTACGTTCGGCGTGTGTACTTTTAAGTTTCATTACATTGTCATATGAATTAATTGTATTTCTTAAACTGTCGTATTTTAATAATCAAATGTGTGAGAAATAAAGAAACGACTTAATGTTTTTTATCATTAGGTATAAGTACCTATTTGATATGCTAATGTATTTAAATTAAACGCTAATCGACTGTTATGCGTACTAACTTTATGTTCTTGTTAAACTATATTAAATGAAGATTAGGTAGTAATGGTTTAGTACATTTAAGACTTAAGTGGTACGAAAACAAAACAGATGTTGAATTTCCTAGTATCTTACTAAACACACTTTCGTTTTAAAAAATATAATATTGGTTCGGATAGTATTTTATTATAATTGGTTACTTGCCTTAATCAAAAATAATTTATTTCAACTGTACAATATAATAAAATATTAAAAAATAATCACACTTTCATTAATTGATTTTATGACTAATTTAATTTTAGTATTTTGCCAGCAAACCGGGGGTTACCGGAGGCCCGATTAGGGTCCGATTACCTCTTTCCCCAATCTCTGAACCCCCAACAATCCTCAAATTCCTAATCCAGAAGGCTGGTAACGCACTTGTAACGCCTCCGGTGTTCCAGGTGTTCATGGGCGACGCCGATTGCTTACCATCAGGTGATCCGTCTGCTCGTTTACCGGCTTATCCCATAAAATAAAATAAAGTAAATAAGTAGTCATTTTGTTATTTAAGTCCAAATCATACTAGGTATCTAATACGAGTAGGATCTCATGAAAATAGGTCAAACAGTTCTTACATCACGTTTTACTTTACTTCTATTAAAAGTTTAGCAGATAATTATTGCAAGTCAACGACGTCTGTAAATATAGAGGTAGTTATAATTACATACATACATACATAACTTCACGCCTGTCTCCCATGGGGGTAGGCAGAGACTAAGGAACGCCAATTACTACGATTCTTACATACCTCTTTCGCTTCATTAACAGTCGTCAATCTTTTCATGCATGCTCGTCGGTTAAGGGTACTTTTAATTTGGCCCTTCTTTAATATATCGCCAATCTGGTCACTATATGTCCGTCTAGGGCGCCCTCTACCAACGGCCCCATTCATATCCGCTCTGTATACTTCTTTCGTTACTCTACTTTCATCCATCCTTTCTACATGTCCAAACCAGCGTAACATTCCCTTTTCAATCCTTGTTACTACATCGTCTTTCAATCCACACCTCTCTCTAGTTATAATTATTATCATGATAATATGATATTAGTGCGATGTTGCCAAATAAATAAATGTATACATATATCTGATACTCTATGTCCATAGAGTTTTATCTTAACTATGGTTCAGTGAGATAAGATTAAATCTAAACATAACATTTACAGAAGATTATGAAATAAGTATATGACTGCCTCGTTGGCCGAGTGGTCGCAAGTGCGACAGCTGGCCAAGGGGTCTCGGGTTCGATTCCCGGGTCGAGCAAAGTATTACTGGGTTTAAAAAAAAAACTCAGTAGTAGCACGGAGTCTGGAACTGTGCCCGGTATATGGCAATAGGCTCATCCCCTATTACATGATACTCATAACATAAATAGTGAAAAGTGGGTGTTACATTGTTTAGTGGTATAATGTGCACCTCTGCCTACCCCTTTGAGGATAAAAGGCGTGATGTTATGTTATATGAACCATTATTTGATAGAAAGACTGTAATGTTTATAATTAGGTAATTAATTAATTATAGTAAAAGGAACAATCGAGTAAAGTGAGGAGTTCTTACTACAATTAGTGTGTACTAACTGCGAAGGGTGTAAAGTAAATGAAAAATCTTATTACGTAAAACAATTTTTCTTTCAATTCTTTGTAAATTAGTAAGAAATATAAGGCTATTTTATTTTATTTATTTATGAAAAGGAAAAATTGATTATCTCGTTTTTATTTCTCCGAAGGCTGGCAATACCGCGTGTTAAATATTAGGTTATTAACTTTTCTACCAATTAAACTCAATCTTTTATTTGCATATAATAATAAAATTGTAATTGTAAAAGTATCATCACATTCATCACACTAATATTAAATGTGAAAATTTCTTTGTTTGGATGTTTGTGTGTCAATCACGCTAAAACTACTGAACGGATTTTGATGAAATTTGGTATACAGGCAGGGTATGAACTGACTTAGGTGATAGGATATTAAGGACTTTCTATCTTGATTAAATGCTCCCATGGTATACAACAGGGATCATATTGTACGCGGACGAAGTCGCTGGCAACAACGTAAACCTAGACTACAAACACAATTTATGATTTTTTACTTATATAAAGTCGCGATCAGTACCTTTAGTTTCGTAAGTGACCGCTAGAGGCACTGATTAGTCATAGGTACTACAAATTATTTCCATCGTCGCTATTGAGAATTAACATCGATATTGCTTATATCATGGTAGAGGTACGTATGAAAATTGTTAACGAACAAATGACCAATGAATCTGTCGTATTGGGAAGCTCCCCTTTTTTAATATTGTATAGAAAATCCCACAGAAATTGAGCCCTGTATTTTATGGCATCACACTGGCCCTTGACATTATGATCTACGGATTAAATGTATATTACAATGTTGTATCTAATATATAAATACTAAATCCTTAGTTTTCTCAGAAGGGATGTGCTATATGTGCACTCAATACATTTTTGCAAGTCATGTCATTAGTTCTACGTAATAAATAATACCAGCAAAACCGCTTGCTTCGTCTGCATAGTATTTTGACTAGTTTATTTTTTTTGTAGCTGTAATCAATCCATCTAACCTTAAGGTATTCTTTGATACGCTAAAAATGTATTATGGATAGTGCAAAAAGACAAAGTTTGGGGCTAACCGACCAATAGCTTTTAAAGCTTTCATTGAGAAAAACTCTAAACACATATTTAGTTTTGATTGCGACCTTCCGAAGTCAAGGTAAAGATAGACACGCATTTACTTCGATTTTTATTATAAGTAAATATTTATAATTTTATTTAATTACCTTAATGCGAAGATAATTAAACCTAAGGTCAATATGTTAGGTTTAATGGTGGGTCTTCCATTTACCTACTATTTGATAATTATATACTTTCCTATAGGAAATCCTATAATATGTCCTTCGTGTCAATGTGTGTATGTAAAAGAGTAACGAATGAAGTTTCTTGCTCGTTCTTCTCCACTCGAATCTACTTTTTGGAACGAGCTCCTAGCTTCACTGACAGACTATTATTAATTTTGTAATTGTTGACGATTCAAAAGTACCGTATTATGGTTTAATTGAAAAAAATGCTTTGTTCTGCGTCTATAGTAACCGGGTGCCACAGTCGGTGTTTCACTGTGTCAGCCTTTTTTAAACGTCCTTGACTACGCCACGACTCTTAATCAGTTTTGATAAGAGAGGACGTACTATGTTCGGATGATTGTTTATTTATGGGGTATGGTTCGAAGTGGTTGATTCAGTCCATCGACATATTATACTAATGGACATGCCTTAGAGATGATTGTGGCACTCCGAAAGAAAGAGAGAAAACGAAGTTTCGGTCTATCTTTATCTCTCTCAAAGTAGTACCGTAGTTAAGACGTTATGAGCCAGAAAGACATAGCGCTAGACCGAAAGCATAGGCCATCTCTCTCACTCTTTTCAAACCAAAAAATTACTGCAGATTATACGCGTAAGGCATGTCCATTAGTATACGTCGATGATCCAGTCCAAGTCAATATTAGTTCCAACTGTCACCGCGTCAAACTCTTTTTTGTCAAACGTATATTAAAGACATATAAATTAAATATTGTGCAAGTTTTCCTAGATAGATAAATGTAATATTTTGACCAAGATAGTTATCCAATCTACTATATAAAAATAAGTCGGGTTTTCCTTCCTGACGCTATAACTCCAGAACGCACGAACCGATTTCTACGGTTTTGCATTCGTTGGAAAGGTCTCGGGCTCCGTGAGGTTTATACCAAATTCAGGAAAAAGAGTTTTCTTCATCTTTTAATCACCAAACGAAATGTTACATAAAACGAAGCCACCTGGTGGCGAAACGGAGTTCGCCGAGTTTACTAGTTTTTTATGAAATTAGCGTAGGGATTTCTTTAGGATAATCTCAGGATTCCAACTTTCATTTTTTTTATTTGCGTTTATTGTAGGTGAGTAGAGTGCCATCGACCCAAACGTACTTAGTCTCATTTATGTAACATTCCTTATAATTCAAAAGTCTTAAGTCAAGCTTACCAAATCTTCCTTAATCCATTTACTGACTTCGATTTCTGACGTCCACAGATCCGCAGTCACCAGCGAACTCCCTCTGGGTCTCGTGACTTCAAGGAGGCCACCAAACGAGATGCCCTCACACGGCTGGAGGTGGAACTGGAGAGACTTGTGGAGCAAGTCCATGAGACCAGGCGGCCACATGTCGAGAAGGAGTTCAAAGGGTTCAAGAACCTCTTTCGTAGATTCTTAGCTGAACGTAAGTGCATTTTGAAGACGTGTTACGATGTTACGATTGACTGTGTAGTTTTTTTTAACCCCTCGAGCGTCCTTATGAGCACCCGGTGGATTATAAGAAAAAATGCTCCATGCTGCTTTTTCTTTTATAAAATCTATAATTAATGTTTTGTTTTTATTTTGACTGCATTTTTTATTTCTATTGTAATGATCCTTGTTTTCGTGTGCCAATGGCCAAATAAATACATTTTCTTTCTTTCTTACTTTCTCCAAATGTCACGTGTGCACCCGTTGGATCATAAGGAACGCGGTCGCTCGACGGGTTAACTAGTATTACCGCCTGCTCTGTTGTTGAGGCCTTTAGAATAACATATGTTCACATGGCTATCACACACACTGAGACCTGTAACAACAATTTGTGAATCACACACATAATATTTCCGTGCGGGAGTCTAACCACGACACGTTCCTCAGAAGCCAAATTTGTTTTAATGGCCTGGTGAGGCCTAGTCTAGTGTCTTCTAAGATTAATCTGTCAAACACCAAGCGGTCACCGGTGACCGCAACCTATTGTTCTTTAATTGTGTCTATAAATACGGTACTCGACGAGTTAATAAAAGGATTATGGGTTTAGAGATTGTAAATTATGTGATGATGATGATGACGACAATGACTGCCTCGTTGGCCGAGTGGTCGTAAGTGCGACTGCCGAGCAAGCGGTCTCGGGTTCGATTCCCGGGTCGGGCAAAGTATTTAAATATTCTCAGTAGTAGCACGGAGTCTGGAATTGTGCCCGGTATATGGTAATAGGCTCACCCCCTATTACATGAGACTCATAACATAAATAGTGATATAATGTGCACATCTGCCTACCCCTTCGGGGATAAAAGGCGTGATGTTATGTTATGTTAGATTCAGCCTCAATATGCTTAAAAAAATACTCAATATCGCCTTACAGAGGGCCCCTCAGTGACATGGGAGAAGATTCAGAAGCTACCAGAGGGCGCTGTGATCGACTACTCGTCCCTGACCACGCCCACAACGGACAATGTCCACCGTATGCTGGAAAAGCTGGTGGTCGTCAAGCTTAATGGTGGTCTTGGAACTTCCATGGGATGCAAAGGTCCCAAATCCGTTATTCAAGTCAGAAACGATTTGACATTTTTGGATCTTACTGTACAACAGATTGAGGTGAGTTTGGCTTGGCACTCAGTTCTATGGTGGTATAAGGGCGTTCTTCGACTATTCGTGGCTTTATTATTAAACATGTTATTAATAAATAATGTTTGTCTTTAATATTAAATAATAAACAACAACAATATAATGAGAAAGTAGTTACAGACACAGACTGCCTCGATGGCAGAGTGGTCGCTAGTGCGACTGCCGGGCAAGGGGTCTCGGGTTCGATTCCCGGGTCGGGCAAAGTATTACTGCGTTTTTTTTTAAATCTCAGTAGTAGCATGGAGTCTGGAAATATGCCCGGTATATGGCAATAGGCTCACCCCCTATTACATGGGACTCATAACACAAATAGTGAAAAGTTGGTTTTACTTCTGTGTGCACCTCTGCCTACCCCTTCTGGGATAAAAGGCGTGATGTTATGTTATGTAGTTACAGACACCAATTTTGGTAATGTTACGTTTTTTTCGAAACTATCTTGTTTTTTATTAATGTTACGTTTTTTTCGAAACTATCTTTTGCTTTTTTATATAATTCGGTATAATGACGGTAAATGATTAATATCTATTATTTTACTTACATTTACGCACTCTTTACAGCATCTGAACAAAATCTACAAATGCAACGTGCCGTTAGTCCTGATGAACTCATTCAACACGGATGAGGACACGCAGAAGGTGATCCGCAAGTACCAGGGTCTGAAGCTGGAGATCTATACCTTCAACCAGTCCTGCCACCCTCGTGTGAACAGGGAGTCTCTGCTGCCGGTACCGCAGCACACCGATGTACACGCGGACATTGAGTCGTGAGTACAATTCTCTTGCACCATTCGTCATATGGACTATTGTCGGAATACTCAAACGCTACTCAATTTTAAGTCGCGCTTAAGTATAGTTCTGTCTCTACAAATTCTTTGTGAAATGACAGAGATGGCACGATATTTAAGCACGACTTAAAATTGACTAACGTTTCAGTATATGACTTCTCTTTAAAGAGATCTCTCTCCTACTTGATGTCTATTCTGCGTCTAGTACGGTACTGCTCCATTAGGAACTTATTTTATTCAGCTTCAAAGAGACTACAGAAATGACATGACATGTTCCCGCGGTTGCGTTTATTGGCAGTGTTTTTTTTATATAGCACTCGCTTTTACCCGCAGCTTCGCTCGCGTCACAAAAGGATAAAAAGTAGCCATACACACAGCACCAACAAAACAACATACCAATAATTTCGTTTTCCCTCGAGAATATCAACATTTTCCGGGATAAAAAGTACCCTATTATTTAATCCAGACTTCTAACTGCTGCTTTGAATTTTTGCAAATGTTAATCGGTTTAGTAGTTACGGCGTGAAAGTGGAACAAACAAACAAACAAACTCACTTTCTGATTTATAATATTAGTAAGGATAGTAAGGATAAGCCGATAAACTAGCAGACGGATCACCTGATGGTAAGCAATCGGCGTCGCCTATGGACACCCGAAATATCAGAGGCGTCACAAGTACGTTACCGGCCTTTTGGGGATTAGAAGTTTGAGTTTCATTGGGGATTCAGGAATTGGGGAAGGGAAGGGTAATTGGGCCTCCGGTAACCTCACTCACACGACAAAACACAACGCAAGCGTTGCTTCACGTCGGTTTTCTTTGAGGCCGTGGTATCACTCCGGTCGAGCCGGCCCATTCGCGCCGAAGCATGGCTCTCCCACACTTAAATGTTTTTGATAACATCCATATGAGGGCTACCATTTCTTCCAGATGATGATGAGATGGATATAATGTAACTTAATGTAGCTGTTTGTCTAACGGTAACTACTAGCTGTGGAACATTGAATGTCCAATGTAGATTCAATGAAAGCTTGGGAGTTTCTTTTTTAATTTTACTATAACTTTACAAGAAATATTCCTATTACAACAAGAAGCCGTCATTTTAAAGGTAACTAAATTGCCTTTTATACGACATACGTTACCAATTAATAAAATAACTGTATCGGAAAATGTTTATCAAGAAATGGAAAAGAAAACCTTAGCGGCTCCGTTCCTTTGCTTCCAAGTTTATGTCTTCATGTATTGTCATCGTAATTTGTCTCAATATTCACTAGAATAATCCCCTACTCATTACTTCATTACAGATGGTACCCACCTGGTCACGGTGACTTCTACGAGTCCTTCCACAACTCCGGTCTTCTGCAGAAGTTCATCGGGGAAGGAAGGACCTACTGCTTCATCAGCAACATTGACAACTTGGGTGCCACAGTGGACCTGAACATCCTCAACCTACTCCTTAACCCAGACCCCCAGAAACCGATCTCAGAATTCGTTATGGAGGTGACTGATAAGACCAGAGCTGATGTTAAGGGAGGTACCCTAATCCAGTATGAGGACAAACTAAGACTTCTGGAAATTGCTCAAGTGCCAAAGGAACACGTAGATGACTTTAAGTCCGTCAGTCAGTTCAAGTTCTTCAACACAAATAACTTATGGGCGAAATTGGACGCGATCAAGAGGGTGGTAGACCAAGGATCTCTGAACATGGAGATTATCGTGAACAACAAACATTTGGCGGATGGTCTGAACGTCATTCAGTTGGAGACGGCCGTAGGAGCAGCCATGAAGTGCTTTGAGGGAGGAATCGGAGTAAATGTGCCAAGGTCACGCTTCTTGCCGGTCAAAAAGACATCTGACCTCTTACTAGTGATGTCCAACTTGTACAGCTTGTCACATGGGTCTCTAGTGATGTCCCCACAGCGAATGTTCCCATCGACTCCGTTAGTGAAGTTGGGTGACAACCATTTTGCCAAAGTGAAAGAGTTCTTGAACAGATTCGCGACGATACCTGATCTGATCGAGTTGGACCATCTGACTGTGTCTGGCGACGTCACGTTTGGCAGAGGAGTCTCTTTGAAGGTCAGTTGAAATTTACATCTTGCTTACTTGTATGATATTGACGTCGCGTCGTAAATTCTTTTTATTAATGGATCCTTAACACGGACTGTTTTTCGAAATAATCGACAAATATACCAAAATCTGAAAACCAAATGAGTAGATAATGTTTCGTTTGACTTTAAGAAAATAGGAGATGAGCACATGTCTTCGTGGTTAGTAATGACAATTAAAGTTGAAAAAATAGACTGCTCATTGTCCACAAATAATATAACTTTACCGTAGTTACCATAGTTATAAATGTTGTAGTACCAAATTGTAAAATTAGACTTTGTAATTTAATTTTATTAATATTGGCATACACTATTGCATTAGGTATTAGTTCCTGTTAGGATAGTAGTATGTATATAGTTTATAAATAAATAAATAAATAAATAAAATAAATAAATAAATAAAAACTTATATGACTTTCCTATAACTTTTTTTTTCCATCTCTCAGGGCACAGTAATCATCATCGCGAACCATGGAGATCGTATCGACATACCATCAGGAGCGGTTTTGGAAAACAAGATCGTGTCCGGAAACCTTCGCATCCTGGATCACTAAAGTCAATATCAGGTACTGAACATCATCACGATTACATCACATCATAATGAGCTAAGTTAAGCTATGCTCCACCAGTACCCACGTCAAGAAGAAAGGGACAGCCGTAACCGGGACCTCCGTAAATAGTCCCCGGTACGTAACTTGAGATGATTATCTTGTGACGGGAGTAAGTTCGTGTCGGCCGGAATTATGTTACCGGCCTTTTTGGTATTTGAGGATTGAAAGAGGGGGAGAGGTCTTTTGGCCTTCGGTAGCTTCACTCACACGGCGAAACACGACGTTGTTTCACGTCGGTTTTCTGTGAGGTCGTGTGTGACTCCGGTCCAGCCGGCACATCCGTGCCGAAGCATGGCTCTCCCACTGGTTAATTCCTATTATATATATATATATTAAGAGAGGTTTGAGATGAAAGTAAACTGAGAAAGTACACACAACGAACTTACCCCCACCACGACAAAATCTTGCCAGATTACATGCCGGGTATTGTATCTCCATCCTTGTCACACAAAGTGAAATTATTCTGGAATGGAAATTATGGTATATACGTAGTGAGGAAGGGACTTTACCCATTCCGAGGTAAACAATACTTTTTTATTGAATAAGAAACATGTAATGGGATTTTAAAAAGTTTTCATTCAAAACGTAGATTTTTCAATGACATTCTAGGTGTTATAATGTAGATATTGTTATGAAATTATGAATTTATTTTTGATTAATATTTATTATTTCGTTTAAAACGACTTGTTATTTTGTTCTATGTTCGAAGTTGAGCCTAAATTCTATTGTTTATTTATAATCTATGGAAAGATTTTTTTAAATAAGTGTTTTTGTAAAATTTTGTACTTATTAGAAAAGATATTTGCTTAATTTTTTCCTTTGTAATTTATACACATTTTTATTTTTTGTAAAAATATTGTTAAATTTTAATTTTTATGCAATTTTATGTAATTGCAGGGTTGTATTTCTAAAACAACATTTATTTTAACAAAACTATAAAATTACGGATTTTATAAAACTTATTTATTAATGAATTTATTGCGTTTTTTTCGTTATTTGGCGAAATATGTATCTTTCATAGTTTTGAATATTTTATCTATTAGTGAATAAGTTTTAGAATTTTTTACATATAAAAAAATGCCATTTTGGCAGCCTTAAAATATTAAATATATTATTGATTTGCTTGTAAAATTCTACATGGTAGAACAACGATTTTCTTATACTTATCATATTTGTACTATATTAATTTATTTTAGTACCGTATACAATACATATACTATATTAACTAAATAATCGCTTAAATACGGGTACGGAACTGGAGTCCGTGGGTTCAATGGACTGGTAGAAGTCATTACAATTTTTATAATAACCAATATTTACCCCAATTGTGTATGACGTATTATATTACATTATTAATAAAACAATGTGATATTTTGGTATCCGCTAGATGGCGTTTATGTTGTATATAGTCATGTACGACTAATCACAAAAGCATTTTATGGTATAAGGTCGGCAAACGTGGACTGACAACACTAGAGAAGTGGAGAAGAGAAGTAGAATTTGGGGATGAGAGTGGGGAGGGTGGGGGGGGGGGAGGGGAATTAATTAACTGTCACTGTAGTCGATGTATAATAAATAACTGTCAAATGACTTAACTTTACTAAGTATTCTGTTTGTCATGTCAAGATATTTAAGCGACATTAGCGCCTCTAGCTTTGAAAATGTCACCATTGTTTTCATAAAAGTTCTGATAACTATAAATGTTTTTTTAAATTAACTGTCGTGTGTACTGGAACTATCTGTCGAGGACGTTGAAAAATAGGCGGACATAATTCACTTAGAAGTTATTGAAGCACCAAAATGTCAGTGGTTTATTTATGTGTGCGTGTGTAATGTGTTACCACGTTACCGGACTTAAGAAAGTGTCCGATGTCCTTCGTGTCAATGTGTGTGTGTCCTGCGTGTAAGTCTATAGTATCCAGGTGCCACAGTCGTAGTTTCAAGAGATTGTGTCCGCCATTTTTCAACTTCCTTGCTACCTGCCATATTCAGAGACATTATTTAACCCGTCGAGCGACCGCGTTCCTTATGATCCAACATGACATTGGAGAAAGAAACAAAGAAAATGCATTCATTTGGCCATTGGCACACGAAAACAAGGATCATTACAATAGAAATAAAAAATACAGTCAAAATAAAAACAAAACATTAATAATAGATTTTATAAAAGAGAAAGCAGCATGGAGCATTTTTTCTTATGATCCACCGGGTGCTCATAAGGACACTCGAGGGGTTAAACTATACACTATTTAACTGCACGGTTGGACAACTGGCTGCCACGCAACGCGTCGCGGGTTCGATTCCCGCACGGAACAATTCTTTGTGTGATCCACTGATTATTGTTCTGGGTTCGAGTGTCATGTGTATGTGAATTTGTATGTTTCGAAAACAATTTACTAAGTACTGCGTTAAGTACCCATTAACTCGTCGAGTACCGTATTTATAGACACAATTAAAGAACAATAGGTTGCGGTCACCGGTGACCGCTTGGTGTTTGACAGTTTAAATGACTCTGTGTACGGCAGTTAGACATTATTGTAAAGTTAAGGACTCACGGCGCGATCTTCTCCTGCGCCCGGGCGGGCGACACGGGCGGTTGAATAACCAGTGCCTTTAGCCAAACGCCACTTTAGCGCTTGTCTACAGAGAGAGTAGAAAACTAATTGTATGGGGATGACACTGACAAGTGTCAAAATGTACGTCAATTCCATATAATTTGGTTTTCTATTCTACATGTAGACAAGCGCTAAATGGCATTTGGATTGGATTTTTCCACTGTCTGTAGCCAGTAAGAGTCTGACACTCCCTCCCGCCTCACCCAGGCGCCCCCCCTGGTGAGTTCCAGGCCGGCCTCAACTGCGACCGCCCGCCAACCGACCGCACAGCGCGCGAGTACCAGCCGTGACAATTGCTTTCATCTTTTACATACATATCTGTATTTTACAAAGGCCGCAACCAAGGTGGCCGCCGGAGAAAAGCGCGCCGTGAGTCCCTAGCCTAAATAGGTTAATAACCTTTTTATATGCATGCAATATTGCATTCTCAACGTAATAATTATTCAATAATCATTTTAAGATAATCAATAATACACTTTTAATATACCGTGAAAAAGTTTATTTTACAGTGATTTGATACATATCCCTTGCTTTGTTAAAATAGTCAAACATTTGTTTTTATTTGTGCTACATTTGATAATAAACCGTAGCACTAGGACTTTAAAGTTATAATTCGTTTAATATTACCTTGATACTGAATGAATTTGCTGTGTATTGCAAATTGAACTTTAAAGTCGTCATATTACGGTTAATTTTGCTGTATGAGTAGAGAACCAAACATATACTATCGTACAATTAGATAATAGTTGTCTTAGTGTAAGATTTAGTGCCATTACCCATGTAGGTAAACTGTTGTAATAAATATAATTATGATTTAATCAACAATATGTTTTATTTTCCACACCTTAAAGAACACAATTAAAAAACGACCTTTAGATCCTTAGGTACTATTTAATGAAGTAAAAACTTTACAGAATTTCCTGTTATTCCTGTACCTGCAGGAATTTTACCTATCTTATATGTACAGTACTAATTATAATATACTTAAAGTCTATATGATATGTGACGTATAATTACACTAATAGTTTTTTATTATCTTCGTTAAATAGTTTTGCGCGACCACAGTGGTACCACGACCTCACAGAATGTCTGTGTGAAATTAAATTGCCCCAATCTTCCTCAACCCCAATACCCAAATCTCTTAAGAGGCTGCTAACGCACTTATACCTTCTCTGGTGCTGCGGGTATCCATGGGCGGCACCCATTGCCTAGACAGCATCATCGCCACGCCTTCCTATTCCATACAATTTTTCTTATACCGACTGATTTTTATGTCCGTACGACACTTCCGTGCGCATTGCCTACTATTATTAATATAGATTGATTATAATATTGTCTCTAAATATCCCCTATTATGTATCTGATCATAATTCAGTGGTTGGCTCATCCATATCAGGTTGCATTTTGCTGGAGATGAAGCAGCCGGCAGCTGACAGCGCAGTCAGTAGTGTGCTGGCGCCGCCCGCGATCCATATTGTGGACGCGTGCAGCAGACACCCGCCGTTTGATGAGTACACACATGTCATGTCTGTGGAGACAGAGTAGTAGGAATGAGTTTTTAAATGCAACAAAATTAATTAGCTTCATCCTTACTTTCCTTACTTATATTATAAATCGGAAAGTGTGTTTGTTTGTTTGTTCCACTTTAACGCCGTAACTACTAAACCGATTGCTTTGAAATTTTGCAGACGTAAAGTTAGAAGTCCGGATTAAATAATAACACTATTATTTAATCCGGACTTCTAACTTTAAGGGATAATAAGTACCCACTTATTATCCCTGAAAAATTTGATATTCCCGAGGGAAATCAAAAATATTGGTATAGATGGCGCTGTGTGTATTGGTATATGTCACATTGGCTTTATATCCTTTTGTGACGCGAGCGAAGCCGCGGGTAAAAGCTAGTTGTATAATAATTGTATAATAAATTGATGCTTCATTATTTTGGCGAAAGAATAAACCACAATATTCTTGAACGCACTTTTCGAAATGTATTATGTACATGCTTGATAACGCGATGAACGTCGTGTGTCTCTCAAAATCTCTTATAGGCATAGGTATAGGCATGGTTAGGTACTTACGACTAATAAACAAGTAGATTAAATGTCCGAGTATAAAGGATAGTAGTGCCACTATCGCCATGCTGGTACCCACGGCGGTGGCCTTGTCTATCGGCCGGACAGCTCTCAGCACCGCCATACCTTGCATCAGGAAACAGGCCGCTGGAAATAGGAAATTACATTACTCATGAGCTCTACGGTTAACCCATAGATCCCCAAACGGTCACCGGTGACCGCTCTCCACTACCTACATTATAGACCTTATTTCCAATGCTTAGAGACTACTTTTGTATGAACAAATTTAGGGGATGGCTATAACCTCTTGTAAAATGAGATAAAATAGAAAACATACTGTGTCATAGCCGGGTTAACGCTTGCAGGAAAATAAAATTACACATTTCTAGATTCGTTTACAAAGGTCCGCTAATGGTCTTTGAGCCTCCTCTAGATAAGAGGATATCCGATTATCTCCACGTTTAGTCAAACGAGTTGGTTCAGGTTTATCATTGAACGCTGCTGTCCATCTATGTATAATACGTGTGAATTATAAGTGCGGTGATAATATCAGCCATTCCACAAACCCCTTTAACTATCAAAAGGTAATAGTGAGGTGAGGATACTGACCAGCTACTGCCAACATGACGGTGAATACGATCTGGTACGCGTTGTAGGGCAGCATGCACGACGTCAGTGAGCACGCGCCGCGTGCAGCGCGCATCGTGCCCAGACTGCACTCGCAATTGTTAAACAATCTGCAATAAAATGTTTCTAATGTAACACCAGTTTTAGGATCAACTGAAGTCATAACCAAATCGATGGATCATGCATCTGGTAACCCTCATTCACATGGTGAAACGCAACGTAAGTTGAGTCGGTTCATACCAGTTTTTTTGGTTGGTGGGGAGCCAGAGGATACAGGTGGCGAGTTACTTGATCCGTGATGGAGGACTAAGGGAGAGGCCTTTATCCAGCGGTGGACGTCCTGATGATGATGATGATGACGATCATGATGATATCCGTTTTGTTTGAAGCCGTGCTGTGCCGTCTTACTTCAGTCGAGTCCGTCTATTTGTGCCAAACACGACACTTACACTTGAATTTCTCGAACACCCTGTATTTTGTGGATAGATACTTACAAAACGCCGTTGAGATCTTCTGAATGCGTACAGCCGGCGTGACACGGAGAGAAGTAAGTCCGCTTGGTGTCCAGCAAACACACTGGGCTGAAGCCGTACCGCTCTGTGCTGCACCTGGAAACGTAGATCAAATCATTTACTTAAACATAAATCATTTTCTTTTATTCCTTTGATCCTGAATTTTGTTTCTGACTACTTGACCTTGTGTCATGGCCAGGGCGGTAGACATCATCATGATTTTTTATTCATTAGGTACTGCACAAGTCCATAACAGCTAATGTACCTCTAGATCCTCATCCAACTATCCTTACCCTCATCGCGTTATATCAAATTAAAGTAGTCCTGTCCTGCTACATACCCGCAAGATTGGCTGCAGGTCGGCTGGTAGTAGCTTCCAGTCCGGAGTCCACTGATGGTGTCAGTGTTACAGCTGAGCACAGTCAGCACTATGTAGAATGCAGTCACAAATATGGCGACCACCGCTGCTACTCTTGAGGCCGTGTTCGCTTTTACTCCATCTGGTCTTCGCGCTGAGAAACGGATCTTGAATATCTATAGAAGAAAATAAGTTTTAATGTCTATCAGTTAACTTAAGCTATATTTTAGTAGGTATGTTTCCTTTTAACTGAAAGAAGCTTTGTTGTAAAAATGATATTCAATTTTCGCCAACAAACTGTTGACAATTTGGCGATGCTTAGTAATAAGTTAAATGCATGTATCTGTAACTAAATAAATTATTTAAAAAAAGCGCCATTTTTGAACCAATTTGGATAACTACTGTTGTAGAAGAACCAAGAGATAAAAAGGCGAATGAGTATTTTACACAAGCTAACAAATTATAAAAGATAGACAGACAGGAGTTAAAATATCTTACCATAACAAAAATAATGATGAACAGCGTCCGGAAGATACTCGAGAGCCCTCCTGAAGTCCTTGGGTCCTTTGTGTCCACGTGAAACTTTGCCTGTAAGAGATGGAAATGATTACATTATTTTCTGTAATATTTAAAATAAATTTAGATTTTATCTCTGATCTGGTAGTGCTAATTTCTTAAGTGATCTACAGTGAGATTTAAATGCACTTCTTAGGGACAAATTTTTTAGTGATTTTTTTTTTATAGCGTAAGTCGGGAATCTAGCGGACGAATATCACCTGATGGTAAGCAATCGGCGCTGCCCATGGACACTCGAAATACTTAGGCGTTACAAGTGCGTTACCGGCCTTTTGGGAATGGGGAATTTGAGGATTGTGGAGGATTCGGGGATTCGGGAGACGGGGACTAGGGAGGGGGGTAATGGGCCTCCGGTAACCGCACTCACACGACGAAACACAACGCAAGCGTTGTTTCATTCCCATTCGTGCCGAAGCATGACTCTCCCACACTTAATTTAGATTAGAAAGAAATTGGTTTTGGAAAAATTGTTGTAGTACTTACCTGCACATATGCATCGTCATAGTGTACGAACACTAGAACTGCGGTGCTTAAACAGGAGAGCGCTACAATTTGCATCATCAGCGCCTTATTGTGAAGCAGTCGTCGAAGAGTCGGCAGCAATCCTGGAAAAGAGAGCTTATTTGTAACATGGACCATACGTCACACTATTATTTCAGTCTTGCACTTGCTAACTGCTATCTTCCTCAACAAAATTGACTGATTTTAGCTACCATAACAAAATTTATTTTTCCTAAGTATGTATGCAAATTGAAAACGGCAAATTAAAGCAATATTTTCTCGACTAAAATTAGACATACATTACACATGCGAAACGCAGGAATACGGACGTAAATAAGTTCACTTCAGTAACAATTACCTACTTGGGCTACTTGAGAACAGAATGGTGTAACACATACCGGTATCAACATACGAGTCTTCCAGTTCATCCATCTCTTTGGAAGATACCATTCTCTTGGGGAACAGGCTGAAGAGGAACGAGAACATGAAGGTCAGCATGCAGATGGAGAGGTGAGCCTCCCACCAGTTGTCCCTCTCAGAGGTCGGCTCCAGCCAGGAGCCTGCGTTCATGCCCAAACTTAGGCGAATAGAGATCAGGTTACCTGGAAGAGGATAGTATAGGAATAACTTATAATAAAACACTGATGTATGGTTTATGTGATCTGAAGGAAGATGAGATCTGAAGATTCAAGACAATACTGTAGCTATTGAATTAATAAAAGGCGGTGTTGCGGCGTTGAGGCGGTGGTCCTGTGGTGTTGCGGGTATCCATGGTATGGGTGGTATTAATCGGTGTGCTCGTTTGTCCATCCCATGAGCAAAAGATGATGGTGATCAGATGGTAGGGAAAGACATCATGGTACTTATGTGTGATAACGATAAAATGTAGTGTGTGTATCAAAGTAAGGATTAGTAAGCGGATAATGCCATCAATTATTGATGTTGATAAAGATAATGTAAATGGACGGATTACGAATTAGATGGACATTAAAAGACTATAAATGCAACTTGATCCTAATTAAGTAACTTTTTGTATAGAGCACTCAGAAAGTCTTACCGTAAAAGTACGATCCATTCGTAGGATCATGGTCATCTAAGTACGTAATGCCATGTGACCAGACGCTGACTCTGGCCAGTCCACAGAGTATCACTGTGATGATCAGGATTGTTGTTCTAGCTATTAGATTGCTATCGTAGTTACTGACTGCTCCGTGTGTCTCGTGGAGGTCACATAACTCTGGAAGAAGGGAAATTTAGTTCAGAAAAATGTTATTTGAGTGGGTGGTCTAAAACTACTTATTAATATTACTATTAATAAGTAGTTTTTTTAAAACCTTTGTTTAGTAGTACTAGGTACATTCTCATAGACTTAATTAAGAACCCACCCATGCCAGCAGGATTTGACCTTGCGAACGGGAAAGCGAGCACGAGGAGTCCTGCTGCGGAGCATACAGCTAGCCAGCCGGAGAATGCGAAGTGCCTCTTGCCTTTTCCCCACCAGGCCACTGCAGCACCCAGGAGAAACTCCACCCCAGCCACCGCCATCATCACGTAATCTAGAACATTTTATAGTGACTAATGTAGATTGAGACTAAGGTCTACTTAGTCTAGCACATCATAATTATGGTGTTTTTAACCCAACCTTTAACTTGTAAGCTAACAAGTGAAACAAATGAATTTATTTCTGCAAATAGGTTTTATATATAACAACAAACCTACACAATTAGGATTTTTTAAAGGGACAAGCCCGCCACAACCTCCCAAAACCGCTGCAACTCCTGTAAGCCAGGATCTACAGTAGATACAACCATGGAAACACCGGAACACTGGAGTCCGGCGCGTCCCAGGGACATGAATAACTGTCTTGGTTCCCGCAACGAAGAAAATCAGAAGGTATTATAAGAGGAGAAGAAAAAACACGATTAGGATAACTGCCTACTTATTTATGTCAGTTTAGTAAACCCTTTGCTATCAAGAAATTTGGCGGTACTAAACGTATCGATGGAATTGCTGCCCTACCAGAACGAGAGTGAGAGAACAGAGATTGGGCCTGTTTTTGTACATCATTTGCTATGTGTTAATACTATTGTAATATCTCCTGTATCGTTCCTAGTCTCTAGAGTGGTCTTTTGTTATTTACCTTGAATAAGCATCGAGTGATGACCTTCCTTGGCATCTCTCTTGAGCAGCAGGTAGGTGTTAGTCTCCAGCAGGATGATGATGAGGTAGGCTCCCTGCAGGAACAGGTCGAACACCTTCAGTCTTAGGATGTACGTCCTCAGGAAGTACCATAGCTTGTGGAATACTGCGGATGTGATGTAGAACATTTTAATACTTAGGAAGCTGTTCTTAAATGCTCTAGCCAATTTTCACATGACGTCGTTTTGGAAGAATATCATGAAAGTCAACGACGAAAATATAAATCTACTATATAAAAATAAGTCGGGTTTTCCTTCCTGCCGCTATAACTCCAGAACGCACGAATCGATTTCCACAGTTTTGCAATCGTTGGAAAGGTCTCTGGCTCCGTGAGGTTTATAGCAAGAAAATTCAGGAATAGCCATCTGGTGGCGAAACGGAGTTCGCCGGGTTTACTAGTATTTCATAGATAAACATTGTAATTGTTTCTAAGTAGTTTTGTTTTTGAACTAGACGTGCTTAAACTGATGAGTATGCCTCTTGTGTGAATGACCTAGCATTTACTTGGTTATCTACACCTACTCCTATATCTAGTAGATGGGTAAGCAAATAGAGGTATAATTGTAAGTAGGTAGGTAAATAGATCAGTGTTGCTACAGTAATTGGCATATGTAGGTATCTCCGCAAGGGGCTAGTAGGCAACACACTACATAACAGAATTATCATAGAGTTATCTTATAAGCCGATTAATTAAATTGTGTAGATGCTTAGGGTTATATCCTATCGTAGCAAATTATTAAAAAACGTTACTTAAAAAGTGCTGGATAAAGAACCGACTGCCTCGTTGACAAAGTGGTCGCAAGTGCGACTGCCGGACAAGAGTGTCTGGGGTTCGATTCCCGGTTCAGGCAATTATTATTGGTTGTTTTTTTTAATTCTCAGTAGTATAGCACGGAGTCTGGAAATGTGCTCGGTTTATATGGCAATAGGCTAACCCCCTATTACATGGGACTCATAACATAAATAGTAAAAAGTGGGTGTTACATTGTACAGTGGCATTCAGTGCCGCAATGTGGACTTTTACCTACCTCTTCGGGGATAAATGGCGTGATGTTAAAGGAGGAGGATATGTTAAAGAAGTTTGTATGCTGTTTTTTTATAATATTTCTGCAGCAGCGCAAACAGCATAGTCTGGCAGGCGGAATATGTTGTATAGACGTACGAATGGGCCGGCTCGACTGGAGTGATACCACGGCCTCACAGAAAACCGACGTGAGCAACGCTTGCGTTGTGTTTCGTCGTGTGAGTGAGGTTACCGCAGGCCCAATTACGCTCCCCTTCCCCAATCTCCCCAATTCCTGAATCCCCAACGATGCTCAAACTCCTAATCCCCAAAAGGCCGGTAACGCACTTGTAACGCCTTTGGTGTTCCAGGTGTCCATGGGCGACACCGATTGTTTACCATCAGGTGATCCGTGTGCTCGTTTACCGGCTTATGCCATAAAAAAAAGACAGAACCCCTTCTTCTTATATTCTAGTTACCTAATTACCCACTCGTGTCCATTCACGTGTATGGTATTTAATTATCATAATTAATTATTCTATCTAAGTGATAATTGGTGATCACATAAATACTCACATACGCGTGTTAGTAGATAAATACCGGGTAATTATCCGGATAGTTTATTATCGGAATTTGCGTTGTTTTTTAGTGCTTTTTACGTCACTTAAGGACGTTAAACTCTAATACACATTACGCTTTTCATTTCCTGACAGAGAAGACAGAAAGGTTAATTTTGAAAACTCTTCAAACAGTTCTTCCATTCCCAGATTCCGTGTTATTAATGAGAAATGCAAAAACTGAATAGCCCGATAGTATTTTTCGACCCGGGACCCATTGTTCGACAGTCACGCTTGTAACTAACGAATACAATTAAAAGTTTTTTGACTCAAAATTGTGAAATTGATATGCATCCTTATCTACTTATCTATTTTTCATTATTGTTTTTCTTTATGGGTGTAATTATTATATGCTGGGTAGCATCAAATGCAACAATCTGGTCCTCAATACACAAGACAACAAAGCACTGCCTATCAGTTTTTTAAAGGATGATTTTTACAGACTTTATTTTGTTGTAGGATTATGGTAAAAATACGGCAATAGGTCCATCCCCATTATATAAGACTCATAACAGAATTAGTGAAAAATTGGTGTTAGGTACCTACCTTTGTACTCAATGTGTGTAAAATTTAAAATAAAATAAATTTAAAAGACTGCACGGTTGGTGCGGTGGCTGGGCAACCGGCTGTCGTGCAACGTGTTTCGGGTTCGATTCCCGCACGGAACAACACTTTGTGTAATCCACAAATTGTTGTTTCGGGTCTGGGTGTCATGTGTATATGAACTTGTATGTTTGTAAACGCACCCACGACACAGGAGAAAATCCTAGTGTGGGGCAACGTTTAAATAATAATAATAAAAAAAACTTACTTGTTTTTCCTGGCAACGACATGTTGTTAAAATAAAACACAATAAAAAGCTTATTAACTAATTAGAGATCCCAAACTGAGTCTTAGTTACTTTCGACTTGATGTCAAAATGAGTGCCAAAAACCCTTTATCCAAAATAAAAATATACAAAAAATACACTGCATAAAACACGATTAATGATTGATCAACACAAAACACATTTGAGTATTAACACTTGAATTTTGAGTCATATTTGATTATTTATTTTCAATAATCACTTTTAAAAACACTAGAACTGATCTTGATATAACTTAAAAACAAACGAATGTTTACTTTTCATATCTAACACTTTCTTTTCGTAGTAAATAAAGTAGAAACAAATGCCTAAATTCTCTACACGTGATCTCACAGTAACAATACGAAATGCTTTAGTTTATTGTCAACCCAAAACCATTATCAGATAAATGATAACACGGTTCATCGTCATACCACAATATCTAAAATATTACTTTATTTCTGTTCCGTAACGATAAGGTATCATACATACCGTAAATGTACCGGAAAAAAGTTAAAATCTATTATTGTTTGTATTAACTAGGTTAGGGAGATAGGCTACCCAGATTAAACTAGATTTAGAAACTAAATGTTTCTAATAGGTACCTATTTTTTCATAAGAATCAACATTTATTTTGTTAATGGTACCTAATTTTAACTTTTTCTATTAGATTCATTATTGACAGTATGGCAGACAACTGCTATCAAGTAGATATTTAGGATGGTATTCAAATAGAAACCTTCTTATGCAGAAAAGAAGTATCTTCTGTACTCAAGAAGATTTCTACAAACATAATCAGTCAAGTCTTTTTATAAAAATAATTTATACGAATCATTAATTGTGTTTCTTCAGTGAGTTTTTAGTATACACAGTCTAAGGTCAAATTATTTAAATGATAAAGTTAGTTACAAAAGAAAGAAAATGCCGCATTTCGTGAATAATTGATTTATTGTTTCTTTTCTATTGTTAAATCTCAATATATTTTTCTTAATACTTATAATTACTTAAAATACAAAATTATATGCTAAACATTAAAGTTCAATATCAACTTAAGAATATCATAACTTAGCACTTGCAGAACTTAAGTAAGCAGGAGAAAGTAGGACAATTAAGTTAATATTTTTCAACGATTCGATCGAGAACAATACAAAAATACAATCAAAATTACAAGTGATCCTACATATAATATAAAAACAAATTAGTCACTATTTTGTCTTTGTTAAAAAATTCATATTAAAATAAGAATAAATATCAATTGTTATCGTATCTAATCTTCCATTATCTAATCACGTAATGTTGCCAAATAATTGAAAAGAAAAAGAAAATATCAAAAAGTAACAACATAATATCACTAGATGGCGTTACTGGACTTAATATTGCACAAATTGACTGGTCTTTGACTCTGGCGTTATTGTAATGTCATTACTTAAGTAAGAAAAATATAAAATACAATATAAATTCCTAATTTTCTTGTACCATGTAATCTCGGGGCTTTATCTACACCTACAATTATTTTACTATACAACTTTAATGACTAGTTTAACCTCATTGCACTGAATAAAACTATAACAAATAATATCTTTAGGCTTAGCTATACTCTTATTTAGTAATACTGGATATAATCCTAAGCTTAAAACCTAAATCCAAGATTTAGGAATAATGGAGAGATTTATTGCTAGATTTTGACCTCCTAAGGCAATTATAATAAGGTCCATAATATTTTTCGGTCTAATTGAAATACTTTAATTATAACTTCAGATTTTTTTAAAATGAAAACGTACTAAATTTTCTGTGATTAGTACTAATCTCTGTTATTAGATGTCGCTACTAGTAGATACTTCATCAAAATTAATTAAATTGTATTTGTATCTCAAAAAGGTACTGCGTAATATACCTACTAGACCGAATAATATTAAGTTCGCTTAGTCTTGTCGTAACCTTAGTCTCTAAGTTCAAAAAGAATTCTATCATAGAGTTATTATATACGTAATTATAATATATTATAATTCACAGATCTCGTTGTCATCAGTGTCAGGTCTCAATTTGCTGACGATGAAGCTTATGATTCCTGACAGGACTGCTAACCCCACGCTGAGTGCACTCATAAACCAGATAGAGTTGCTGTGCAGCAGACATTCCCCGTTCGAGAAGTACACGCATGTCATTTCTGTAGACAAAAGATATGAAGTATAATTTTATGTCAAAAAAAATCAAATAAAAAATTCCTTCAGTCCCAATAAATGGTTTACAAGAACTTTGCGATGTAGACTGATACAGTAAAAAGAGAATAATAATGTTATCGATTATTTAAAATAAGAATCTCTTGACGATTTTAATCAAGAAATTAACCTCGTAATAATGGAACATGGAACGGCTAATTATTGAAAGTATTAGTGGATTTTAAATAAACTTAAAAAATACTTACGGCTGATAGTCATGTAGACAAAATGTCCTATAACAAAGGCTAGGAGTGAGACCACAGAAATACTGGCTCCCATAGCCGTCACCTTGTCGACTGGTCGCACTGATCGGAGTATCGCCATGCCTTGCATTATGAAACCAGCTCCTGTAGACACAAGAATACTTTGTTACAAGAAGATACAGAGTAATTTCGTATATTTTATATCTTATATCGTAGATATAGTATGAAAAAAAAAGAAAAAACTTAGCCTTTTATCATCGAAGCTAAGAATTTTTAAAATGTTTTATTTCTTAGATGTAAGAAAGATCTAAGATCTAAGACTATTTAAACTGTGTAGGCAACCATTTAAAGACTGAAACAAGACTACAGAAATATTAATATTATTAATGATACTGACCTGCAATTGCCAACATGAGTACGAACATCATCTGGAAAGTGGCGTACTTGGCCAGACAATTTTCCAACATGCATGAACCACGTACTGCGTTCTGTGCGCCTGCGCTACATCCACAGTCGTAGAACATTCTGCAAATAAACATTCACTAATGTTAACAAACATAGATCTTTTATAAGTTTTATTTAATGTAAGAGAGCAGGTGAACCTATAGTTACAAACAGAACGAGATTTCTAACTCCTTGAGTTTATTTTAGCTGAGAATTTCTATTAAGAACCAAGATTAGATTAGATGAACGACTTATTATTGGTCCTGATCTATATGTTTTGACCTTACAATTTGTACATATCGAAGGGAAAAAATTAATAAATGCTCTTTAAATAATATTTCAAGAGTCTGTAATAAGTTAAGTACTTAACTTATTTTACTGATGACAAAATATAATTAAGAGTTAGTGAGTTTACTTACGAGATTCCGTTGAGATCCCCGACTCGGTTGCAACCAGCGTGGCATGGAGAGAAGTAAGTTTCCCTCGTCTCCAACATACAGACAGGGTGGAAGCCGTAACGCTCGGAGGTACATCTGAAACAAGAACACATAAACATTAGCATGTAAAGTAGTTACAAAGCGACTTAGATAATTTTAATTACCACTCAACGATTTCCTCAGGACAAGATTCCCTTCAGCTAACTAGAATATCCTATCACCGCAAAGAAAATACTTTTATATGCTATAGTGTAGTTTGTCCGGCTTGGAACTCTATCATCGTTATTATCGCTATCGTTGTGGGCGACGCCTATATCCAGCATCGAAGGTGTATGCGCTGCTGAGTGTGGCGCACACAACTTAAGATTTAGATAGGAAGAAATCACTGATAGTTAAAGAATGTCCGTTTATTATATACTTCGCTACCAAATAACTAATGCTATCTAAGTTGATGTGGTGAGTATATATAAGTGCTGAACGTGTACTGGCGCTTTATACAGTGATTTGAGTATGCTGATGTGAATGTGCGCGTGCCCTGTACGATACATGACTCGTACAGAAGGGATATAGGACGATGATGATAAAGTCATCAAAATAGTAGTTGTGCTGGTAACTCACCCACAAGCTGAACTACACGAGGGTTGTTCATAGTGGCCTGCCTCCAGTCCTTTCATGATGCCAGTGTTACAACCAGTGAATGATATCAGAGTCAGGAAGACAGTTACAAAGATGGAGGCTTTAAACGCCAGAGCTGCTGCCGACTTTGTATTCAAAGGTTCAGGCCTGTTTGTTCCATTGATCTTGACGATCTGTGAAAATAATGGTTTTTTCAGTTAGTCTAGTACTTGGAGGAATATTATGGTAATTAGTGTTATCTTCTTAATATAATTGCTTAAGCATATGTGCGATTCATTTGCACACAAAATCCTAATGACTCTATTTTTCTTTCCCAGCAAAAATTACTAGGGAAATGTTCCAATAAACAATACCTAAGTTCTAAAAGACGGTCTCGCTTGAACTAAACTTTGCGCATCATAATTATGTAGGCGTCAAGATTTAGGCAAATTCAGTAATTAAAAAAAAATAAGTGACAGAGTATTTAGTCTACTTACCATGACAAACATAACAAGAAGACCAGTTCTGAATATATTGAGCGGGTCGCCTGTACTCCTGACGTCTGAGCCACGGGTCGCTTCTACATTGTATCGGCCCTAAAATGAAGATTGAATGATTAAATTTCCTGTAGACTGTTACGTAAATGATCAATGGTATGGTTAATCATAATCATAAATGATTGAGATTTTGTACAAAAATAGATGATTACTTGAAATCTTTTGTTTCCGTGTTGTTATCATAATACTTATCAGAAACTTAATCAGTCATGTTTTATATTAATCATAAAAGTAAAATATTCGTATATTATGATTATATTTAATGAATAATACTTCCGCCGATTCTTGTAACGAATTACCTCATTAGATTAGGAAGAAAAAATTAAAAGCTTACGATTATCAAACATGAAATTATTTCCCTTGAAAAATATTATAATATTTCTTTAATTTTTAGTATGTTTGCTTACCTGGGCATAGGGTATTTCATATTTTGCGAACACGAGCACAGCAGTGCTCCAGAGAGACAAGGCTATGGTTTGTAGAATCAGCACTTTGTTCGTAACCAGTCGCTTCAGAGTTGGGAACAGGCCTGGACAAGGAAAACATTACTTATAAATATAACCTAATGTAAAACGTATTGTTATTTCGCGACCAATTCTAAATTAAAAGCTAAGATTCTTGCAGATAGAGACAAGTCAAACGAATATTTCTTCATATTTTATTGATTTTAGAATTTTCCTTAATATCTTTATATTCACAGCACACATCACCATTAAAATTTTAATGTCCACAGAAAAGAAAAACAAGATTGATCGAGTACCTACGACTTGAATGTATCTAGTTTTTTACTAACAAATTACTTACCGGTGTCAATATTAGAGTTTTCAATGACATCCATTTCTTTAGAAGCCATCCTCTTGGGGAAGAGGCTGAAGATGAAGCAAACGAACAAAGTCACCATGGTGAGGATAAGCTGATTCTGCCACCAGTCGTCGCTTTGGGACGCCTTCTCCAGAATACCATCTCCATCCAATCCCAGGGTTATACGGGCAGTGATCAAACCACCTGGAATGGAGACAAATAATGGTTAAGTCCAGAAAAAAAATACTAAAAATACATTTTCCATGTTTTAAAAATTATTATTAAATTACCACGTGTGTTGAGTATCGAAACAAGAATAAATCATACACGATTGTTAAGTGGTGTAGCTAACATTGTAATTATTTTAATAGAGCTTATTATGATAACTTAAGTAGGTAACTTCTATTCTCAATGGGGTACACTTGTACTATTACAAGTACTAGTTACATCGCTGTCGATGTGAAGAGTTTGTATTGAGAGTTTTGATAACAAGACGCATGATAAAAGATGCGCGATGCATCTATTGACCTTTCTGTGAATCTATGTATAGACAAGTTAGTAACGTTAGTAAGTAGTTCCGTTTTCAATATTTCTGGCTAATTACGTCTTTTTTAGTGAAATCTGAGCAGATATACCACTATGCACAAACTTATTTCCAACTTTCCTGATAAATTCTGATGCACGAGTGAAAATACAATATGGGGCGCAAGTCCCCTTGTAAGCATATCTTTAAATGTCTTACCGTAGAACTCGGGTCCATGAGTGGGGTTATGGTCATCCAAGTAAGTGAGTCCATGTGTCCAGATGCTGAGCTTGGTGAGCGCACACAGTATGATGGTGATGATGAGGAAGGTGGTCCTTGCTGCCAGGTTTTTATCACCTGTGTAGTTCACTTCTGCTTCTTGCCGACACAGGCCTGAAAAATATGTTCAATTCAGTTTTGTTCATTTTGAAGATCGGTTTGTCAATCAAATGTTATGAGTTGATTGTTATGTTACGATCGAATGTAAGGCGTAATCAGACTCTACGTTTTAATTCAGAATGAATAAATCAAAGAATCTAAGCTTCTAAACTGGAGTATCGGATCTCAAACCTTTCTTTGGGCAGTAGCACTTGTTATCAACAAATTAAATATTATTTATTTTTGTTTGGTCCCGTTTCCCTTTATCTATTTAATGGCTGTAGTTTCTCACGAACTCACCCATGCTAACAGGATTGGTTTCAGCGTAAGGGAAGGCGAGCACCAAGAGCCCTGCAGCTGCAGTTAATCCCAGCCAACCGGAGAGGGCTCGGTTTCTCTTGCCTTTCCCCCACCATGCCACTATCGCTCCCAGGAGGAACTCCACGCCAGCAGTTCCCATCCTTACATAATCTAGAATAGGTATATCATATTAGTTTAGATAAATGTTATTACAAGTACCAAATTAGACTAGAAAGAGATTGCATTTTTTGCTGTAATTAATACTCCTTGCTCAAAAGGTTTTAGGGCATCAGATCATTTATTCGGTCTGCTTGTTTTTATCTACATTTTTATTGTATTGTTACTTTAACAAGTATTTTCGTATTTCTTTCTACTTGGGATAAGGTTCATTTTTGTATTTACCTATAGTGAGAGTGGAGTGGTACCCCGCTCTAGCATCCCTACGCAGCAGTAGGTACGCATTGGTCTCCAAGAACAAGATGAGCAGGTATGTTCCCTGCATAAATATATCAAAGGCCTTCAGCTTCAGCACATGCTTACGCAGTACTGACAATACCTTTTGACAACCTGGGAACAAAATACATTGTTAGTTTTTTATGTGTGAGACGCACATGGTTAGAAGTTACCAGAGCACAGAGTTTTGTGAAGGAAAGAGGTGTGCGCTCCTTTCTTAAAGATTAAAATATTTAAAGGTTGAATTAGAGGTTTATTTATAAGGAATCATAAGGCAAACAGCAAAGGACGAAGAAAGATTCGGTGAAGAATGATATAAAAGAGACAGGAGTTCGTGATAGAATGACATCTGATAGGGATGATTGAGAGAACGGATAAAAGATATGTTATTACGTAATGTATGGGTACCTCATGGAAAATATTTGATGATTAATTTATTGTTTTGGCGAAATCAAGACAAGCTATTTAGATAAACCTAATCAAAGTTAGGGAGCGGAGAGTTCGATGCGTCAGTTCTGTATTTAGGTACTTCATTATATAAATTTTGTAGGTGTGTTAAAGTGATATCGTGCGATAGTTCTAATCAATGTAAGTATCGTTAATTTTTGATTCCGGTAAAACACCATTACGTGTCCTATATTTTCCACAAATGTACCTGAGGTATAATGGAAAAAGATTGTCATCTTATTTAATCTAATTTATCTTTTCTGTCGCAAGATTTCTTGCTAATGAGTTTAATAAATATGTATAAGCACTCTATATTAGGTTACCAATTTGATAATTTTTAAATATATCAGATCCATGTGACGTCATAGTATAGTTAGAGTTAATAAACATGCCTGCGCACGTGTTTATACACACATGCGCACACGTAAAACAAATCAAGGGACTAATAAAAAATAACTAAATATAGGGTGAATTTTTATAAGACAGCATGTCTTTGAAATTCCAATTCAATTTGAAATCTAAAATGCTACTAAGCGGAAATTTAAACTAAATAAAAAAATGTTACCAAGAGTTTTTAAGAGGCTGTAAGAGTCAGATGTAATCAGGCAGCATTTCCAACATGGTCTGATGTACATTTGGAGATAGACGATTATCTTAACAGTGTCAGTCATTCTACAGATATTGTTACCCCACCTGGGTAACAATATCTGTAGAATGACTGACAGTAGTTGGATACGAAGAGAAGAAAGAGAAGAGATGAAGATGGAGTTTAGCGGTGTACTGTTGGAAACAGTACGTCCAGCAAACGGGACCAGAAGAGTTATAAGAAGAATAATACACTAATACTTACACGCTGACGCCATCTTCAATTGCCTTTATCTTCTTAGCACTTAACAAATCTATTTTTAAATTATTTGAGATCTTGTTTTTAATACAGATCGTTGAGATAAATTTTAATATCAGTTGATATTATTTAATCGCTTTTCAAAACTACAAAACACTATTTCATAATTTAATTTTTTTTTAAATTCACAGATGCTTTCAGTAATTAAACCTTTTCCGCAAACAAACTTAAGTATGTACCTAAGCACTTCTTTTGGAAAATTCGTGGTTTTAATTTTTTCCGTTCCGCACTCGGAGTCTCTTTTTTATTTAGAGATGTGAATGCTAGAACTTATGTCGTCAACTAGTGACTGTTGACTGTAGTTTGTGTCAATCGTTGTCTGTTTATATTGGCCATTGATTAAGTTTATCAGATAAATGATAAAAGCCCGCGGTTAGTCATACTCTGTTGTACATACGTAAGTTTTCATTAATCTTCCAAAGTATAGGTACCTACGATATGTTATCAGAAAATTCACTATCTCACCGGAAAAGATGGAATTGTTTCAGTAATGGTTTTCTGACTAGCTTTTTGCTTGTGGTTTTCTTATTTGACATATTTATTCTGTGGCATATTGGGTAAACGAGCGGACAAATCACCTGATGGTAAGGCAGTCAGAGCAGATCAGTCCAATACCAGAGGAATAATTATAGGTGCCTCACAGAATTTTTAAAAGAGAGAGCGCTCTTTTCTTTGGTTTAGGTTGCTTAATAAATCAATTCTTGAAACTTACTGCTTTTTTGCCGACGTCATTGATCCATAAGGTTGTTATTGGCTAGCCGTTGTTGGAGATAATAGTCAATAATACTAAAATTTCAATCAAAATATGTGTGCAAAAAATTAATATTTATTTTGTGTATGAACTTTAGCTACTAATATTTTTATCTACAATCAATTATTCCTATGATCTGAATGTTTAATAAATGCAATTTATGCTACATACAATACAAGTAACTAGAAATTCTAATAGTTATATTATTAGAAAACATTAAGAACAAACATACTAACAATGTACCATTTTATGCCTATATATGTACCTGAAAGTACTTAGGTACAGGTTTGTGAATGAACTCGTCACTGATAGGGTTCCGATTGAGAATTATTTATCGGAACTGAAAACATTAGGTAATGTCGGCGTTTCTCTGAAAATAGACATTACTGTCACGAGTCACGACCTCATAGTTACATTAATTCAAGGCGATTGTAAAGTCATTCAATGAATCGTGAAAACAACGTTTTTTCTCAGAATATTATATGACATTATTTTTTATACTTCAGTACTATAAGGATAAAATCACTGTTTCAATAATATCTAATGTGACTTAGGACAAAAAAGAAATCGGACACAATTTTAGACTCTGTGAGACCTTTTCTAGAAGATCGAATGTTACACATTAATGTGCAGAGCTATGATTCGTCACACAGAACATATTCGTCACGAATGGGCCGTTTCGACCGGATTGATAAGCCATTGCCTCTTCTCTGCATCACCCAAAGGTCAGACGGGGAGAAAATACCTGCGGCATTAAGTCTACCTTATGTACACTTTGTGCATGAAGCATTAATATATAAATATCACGACCTTAAAGAAAATCAGCGTGATACCACGGGTTTTCGTGTGAGTGAAGTTCACAACAAAATCGAAGAACTTCGCAGGAGCCGGTGTTGGACGGGGTGGTTTTAGTAGGTCTTTTTTTTCATTAAAGGGCGCAAAATCATCGAATGACTGCTCCCGCCTGGGTGAGGCGGGAAGGGAGTGTCAGACTCTTACGGACTAAAAACCACCCCGTTCCTACTCCTGCACTTCCCACCGCGACTCCGTATTGGCAACAGCCCTATTGGGCCCCATCCGTGGTGGTCTGATGGCTCTTTGAGGCGCGCACGGAACGCGACGCGCCGTACGCTCGGGTTTAGTAAGAGTCTAATCTAAACACTCCTTTTCGCCTTACCAGGGTGCAGGAGTAAGCAATTTGATGATTATCGTCCCCTAAAAATATAGGTACAGGATTTTTTTATTGCGAATATGATGTCACGGTCTTTCCTTCTCAATACGAAAAGCAATGAACATGCAAATAATTATTTGTTTTATAAATAATAACGTAATTACCATTATTTACCTAATTATTATGTAGGCATAACGTCTTTATTTGCACGAAGCGTCATCACATACTTCAGAGAGTATCTCATATTGACGTTTAACAAACAAGCCGTTATCTATATTTTATGTAACTATGTCTTCAGTCCTGAAGTGGTATTATTCAGGCACGCACCGCTTGTGTTATCTCCTGTAATCAGCTGCGATAATATGCAACAGAAGCCTATCAAAGAAATCTTGGTATAATATAATCGATCATCTGCATCAATTTATTTGAATAAGTACTTTTTTAGACATAGGTTAAGATTTAGACAACGGTAAAGGCGCAGAAAATAGTTAAGATTAAGAAAAATAAAATAGGTTACTTATAGGACGACGTGCTCTATCGTAGACCGCATCATCGCTTACCACCTCAGGCGAGATAGTGGGCAAACGTCGGCCCATCTAATATAAAAAAATATCAGAATTTCATAAGTAGGAATACTTATTTAGATCCAGATGTCGAATATAGGTAATATGATATCTAAACTAAGAAGACATCTAGAGATGAGAGTATTAAAACCAGGATCGATAGATAAAAAATAAAAATCAAAAAGTAAAACGTGAGCATTTATTTTAAAGTAAAAAATCGCTTGTTGACGTATTCAGAGTATACAAAAATAATATTTTAGTGACAAGAACTATGCTTACAAATACTATAATTAAATAATTATTACAATATAACAGTAGTCAATACTTATACGTAACTTATAACTTAATTATTCAACATTTTTGTGAGAGCTTGTATGAGATATTCTTGGCGTGACGAACTTTTGCGACTTGAGGCGAGGCCGACTCCATTTGAGACAAAACTTTAAAAGTCGTGCACACGTGTATGCGTGTGTCATTATTTTGATTAGATGGTAATAACAAATCTCCACAGACCAATAACTATCACAGTTAAAAAAGACCATAAGAAAGAAAAGCAAATAACATTGAATACAAAGACAATAAACACTCACACACACAAATCTTATTCTACATTTACTATTTTTGTGACATAAAAACTAAATACGAAGTGGCCTCGCCTCGTGTCAAGTCGAAGAATCGTCTATAAATTAAAGCCTTTAAATGTGACGAACTTTACAATTGAAGTCACGTCGTGGTCCGTCCTAGAACTTGCTGTTCGATCCAGGGTATGAAGTGCGTGACCCTGGAGTATACACCAGGGAAGTTGGCTTCGGCACACTTCTTACCGTAGGAGACCACTCCTATCTGGTAGAAGTATGTCTTGTGTGAGGTTGGACTCCACTGCAAAAGAAAAGTTCAATAAGTATGCTGTGTGTGTTATTTTCTTTGTTGATCTCTTTGACTGTATTTTGGTGTTACATTGTTCTCGAACAGTTGTTATGTGCCCTGCCTATACCAAATCCATTGAATAGCGACATGATAGCCAATGACGCACAAAGCGACACATTTACGGAATATTGCAACACCTAATATGCTGAGTCGACTCCTCGTGTCGCCGCCTCGTGACTTACTTCCACAGTGCTGATGTTGCATCTGTATTTTACGTAGAATTAATTCAGACTATAATATGTATTCATAAAATAATTCACTTTGGTACTAGCATCGTCCAAGTCTACACATAAAACTATTGTAATTTTTAAATTAATTAAACTTTTATCTCTAAAAGTTTCGATTATTTCAAAGTCCTCCGGCTGTCACCTACATAATTGGCGCAGTCGGTAGGATATTCGAGGCAACGTGGCGCAGTACAGATTTCCAAAAATCGTTAATCTACTGACTCCGGAAGTCGCTGTCGGTACTTCCAAGTACATCGTCGAGTATCCGAACTTCAGAAGGTGCAGCTGAGGGCGTATCCAGTCATCGATACATCGAAATAATCATGTACATGTAAGTCCTTGAAACTTTCTTTAAGTGTTGCTCCCTTATCCTTCCTTTTCACCCTTTTATAAAAATTAATCAAAATTTTTCATCCAAGGGTAACCAGGAATAAATCTGTCTCTTCCAGACAGATAAGCAGGTGTAGGGAATTAGATTCTAATAGGGTTATCGATTCAGATAATTTAGGTTTAGAAATATTCGATACAAATAAGATGGCATTGAACCCCGATTCTATCTATAAGGCTTTGCGCCCAGTCCCGGAATTTGATGGCAATCCAAATGTCCTCACACGTTTTATTAGAATATGCGATCAACTCGTAGTACAATACGTTAAAGATGATCCGAGTTGCGAATTAACTAATTTGTGTTTAATAAACGGTATATTAAATAAAATTACTGGATCTGCAGCCAGAACTATTAACTCTAATGGTATACCGGATAATTGGCAAGGGATCCGTGATGCCTTGATAAATAATTTCTCCGATCAACGAGACGAGACCGCTCTTTATAATGACATGTCTTTATTAACACAAGGGAGTAGTACCCCTCAAGAATATTACGACAAATGCCAGACCCTTTTTAGTACAATAATGACATATATTACGTTACATGAGAATATAGATACTACTATCGAAGCTAAACGCGTTCTATATAAAAAGTTAACTTTGCAATCGTTCGTTAGAGGACTTAAAGAACCTCTAGGGTCCCGTATCCGATGTATGAGACCCGAAACTATAGAAAAGGCTCTGGAATTTGTGCAGCAGGAATTAAATGTAATGTACCTACAACAGCGTAACGAGAGTATTCCTGAACGGCGCAACCCGAATATACATCAAATGAACGCGAATCATAAAATACCACACGAGGTCCCTATGACCACACCGAAAGCTTTTAGATTCCCTAGCGCAGGCTCGAGTTGGCATAAACCTATGCCGCCGCAGCAGCAGCAGTCATGGCGACCACCCTTCCAGCACAATCAGGTAGGTCAACGTGCACCCAATATGTTCAGTCGTACGCAACAAATGTTTCGCGCACCCCGCCAAATTATAATCCCCAAAGTAACGTGTTTAAATTACCACCGAGAAATCCCCAAGCGCAATATACCGGTCCGAAACCAATGAGCGGCGTCAGTCATTTCGTTTCCAAGCCCCTAGGATTGTCGGGACACGATTGGCGAAAGGCAGGAAACCCACCACCTACTAATTACTTTAAATCGCGTGAAGTAAATTTTAATGAAATATCGGAACACGATGACACTTATAATTACCCTGACTATTATTACGAACAACCCAACTACTATGACTATAATGACTATTACGACTACTATAACTACGACCAGACTGGACTCGACTATTATTCGTATGAACCAGATGACGAGCAATGTCAAGACGGTAATAATTCCAACCAGTTAGAGGCTCCGCAGCCATCTACTTCCAAAGACATTCAGGATTTTCAGAAGGACAAGAATCAAAAGTCACTAAAAAAGAAAATTACACTTACAGTCTAAAAAGGAATTGCGTTACATACAAATATCAGATCCACCCCTGAAATTACTAGTAGATACCGGTGCTAACCAATCCTTTATGAGCCCCGAGGCAGTTGAGAAATATTTTTCACATATCCCTGTAAATTTCGATCCTTTTGAAGTTACAAATGCGCGTGTTACTAGCACACACGAACATTCTATTACTATTCCGAATTTTCCCGAATTTAATAACCCTACAAAAGTAAAATTTTTCGTCTATAAATTCCACAATTACTTTGATGGTCTATTAGGTCTAGATTTACTTGATGGTGCTCAAATTGATCTTAAAAATAACTATTTAATTACCGACTTTGCTAATATACCCATTCGTTTTTATCAGCGTAAGAAGTCATGTTATCAAGAAACTATTCCCGCTTATTCGTCTAAATTATTAAATGTTCCCATCTACTGTCCAGACGGTGACGTTTCGATAACTCAGCAAATGTATTGTAACTGCGTTATTCATGAATGCATTACTCGCGTTACTGACTGTACTGGAATTATAGAAATCGAAAACCCAAGCGAGTATGACCAACTTATTACATTCGATCAACCTTTACACGCTGACATATTCAATATCGAGTGCACTAGCACCGAACAAGATCCTAAGCGAGTCAAAGAAGTACTATCGCGATTACGTACAGACCATTTAAACGTAGGGGAAAAAACTAACTTAGAAACTTTGTGTGCTCGTTATGCGGACGTATTTTATGTTGAAGGAGAGCCCTTGACTTTTACTAATAAAATTAAACATCGTATTAGAACGACCGATGAAATTCCTGTTTATACTAAGAGTTATCGCTATCCTTTTGTTCACCGGCAGGAAGTTAGAGATCAAATCACCAAGATGCTCGATCAAGGTATAATAAGACCGTCCGAGTCAGCTTGGAGCTCACCTATCTGGGTAGTTCCTAAGAAAGCCGACGCATCAGGCAAGCAAAAGTGGCGAATTGTAGTAGATTTCCGTAAAGTCAACGACAAAACTATAGATGACAAATATCCAATTCCTAATATAAATGATATACTTGACAAACTCGGTAAATGCCAATACTATACTACATTAGACTTAGCTTCAGGATTTTATCAAGTGGAAATGTCTCCGGAGGACATTCCTAAAACCGCCTTTAACGTGGAACATGGGCACTTTGAATTTCTGCGTATGCCCATGGGTTTAAAGAACTCTCCATCCACTTTCCAACGAGTGATGGATAACGTGCTCAGAGGCCTACAGAATGAAATATGCCTTGTGTATCTAGATGATGTAATTATATTCAGTACATCATTACAAGAGCATATGATTAATCTGGAAAAGGTTTTTAAAAGATTACAGGAGTCTAATTTTAAAATCCAAATGGATAAGTCGGAATTTTTAAAATTAGAAACCGCGTTTTTAGGTCATATAATCAGCGCTGACGGTGTCAAGCCTAACCCTGATAAGATAGCAGCAATAGAAAAGTATCCCTTACCTAAAACGCCGAAGGAAATTAAACAGTTCCTAGGATTATTAGGCTATTACAGGAAATTTATCCCAGACTTTGCACGTATTACCAAACCTATGACAAAATGTTTAAAGAAATCAAATAAAATCACTTTTGACTCTGACTATATTGACTGTTTTAATAAATGTAAGACTTTACTGACTAACGACCCAATCTTGCAATACCCCGACTTCACTAAAGAGTTTATTTTGACTACTGATGCTTCGAACATAGCAATAGGCGCTGTACTCTCGCAGGGTACTGTAGGTTCAGATAAACCCATCTGCTATGCTTCGAGAACCTTGAACGATAGCGAAAGTAACTATAGTACAATCGAGAAGGAACTTTTAGCCATTGTGTGGGCCACTAAATATTTTAGACCCTACCTATTCGGTCGAAAATTTAAAATACTTACCGACCATAAGCCACTACAATGGATAATGAACCTTAAGGAACCCAACTCAAGGTTAACTAGATGGCGACTTAAGCTTAGTGAATATGACTATACAATTATCTACAAGAAAGGAAAATATAACACCAACGCAGATGCATTGTCCCGTGTAGAAATACATAATCAAGAGACCGAGTCAATGGTGGCTAACCCTTCAGAACGACCACTATCTCACACAGGTTCCACAACCGCCACTGCACACACCAGTACGGAAAGTCCTATTCTAGAAGTCCCTATTACGGATGAACCGTTGAATAAATTCCATAGACAGATATGTATTACAATAGTAGGTGATATCAAACGTCGGACAACTGCAACTAAACCCTTTGACACACACACTCGCACCTCTATTCAAGTATCAGAATCAAAATTAGAACATGATGTAGTTAACGCTATCAAAGAATATGTTAACCCTAAAGTTAGAACAGCTATTAAAATTACTCCACCTTTAGGAATGTACTCAATTATACCCATCATTCAAAATAATTTCAAAAGTTCCGCTCTCAACCTAGTATTAACCAATACTGAGTTAGAAGATGTTAAAGAGTATTTACGACAGCAGGAAATTATAAAACAGTACCATGAAGGCAAAACTAACCATAGAGGAATAAATGAATGTTACCTTGCTCTTTCGAGAAAATACTATTGGCCTAAAATGAAAGAGGAAATAGCAAAATACATTAACGAGTGTAGGATCTGCGGACAAACTAAATACGATAGAAATCCAATAAGACAACAATTAAATGTAGTACCCCCAGCTACTAAACCATTAGAAATAGTACACATGGATCTTTTCACTGTCGAGAATGAAAAGTATTTAACCATAGTAGACGTTTTCTCGAAATATGGTCAGGCATACTATCTTAGAGATGGCACAGCAATTAGTGTCTTACAAGCAGTTTTAAATTATAGCACTCACCATGGACTTCCGCTAACCATCATAACCGATAACGGCACTGAGTTCACAAATCAGCTTTTCTCTGAGTTTATTAGGTTACATTGCATTAATCACCATAGGACATTACCTCATTCACCTAACGATAATGGCATAGTCGAACGGTTTCACTCCACTATATTAGAACACTTACGTATTTTACGCCTACGTCAAAAGGACGAACCTGTAACTTATCTAATGCCTTACGCAATATTAGCGTATAACAGCTCAGTGCACAGTTTTACAAAGTGTAGACCACATGATATAATAAGAGGACATTTCGACCCCAGAGATCCCCTCGACGTTAACATGACAGAACATCTCATGCAACAGTATATCTTGACACACCGTGACCAAATGAAAACCGTATACGACATTATAAACAATTTTACACTAATCGACCGAACTAATATCATAGAAAACAGAAATAAAGATAGAGAATCTGAAATCGAGTATCCATCGGACCAACAAATATTTATTAAGAACCCACTAGCCAGTCGACAAAAACTAGCACCTCGTTATACCCACGACACTGTGTTAGCTGATCTTCCGATACACATTTACACTTCTAAAAAGAAGGGCCCCGTAGCAAAATCTCGTCTCAAACGCGTTCCTAAGACATCCAAATTGTTACAGAATACTACTGGCGATGATCGTTCACTCAACACTGGCGCGCGAGATAAGACTTGAGACCTTAGATGATGGACCCGGACTCTTACCTTTCAACCTTGGACAAGCGAGACTCATTACACACTACCACTCCTTCTTGCAATACATAGAACTAACCGACATTGACTCAAGACTTAATTCTGTGACGACTCAACTAGATTACTTTAAGACTAAATTAGATAATCAATCTCTTCATTTATTCGAATTTCAAATTAATCATTTATCCTATAAATTAACTAAAATTAATACCCAGTTACAAACCTTAGAGCCCAATCGTAGTAAAAGAGGTCTCCTGGACGGATTAGGTTCAATTATAAAAAGCATTACCGGTAACTTAGATCATACGGACGCACTAATGTACAATAATGCCATTAAGGTCTTAGAAAGCAATAATGAAAAAATAGCATCGGAATTTAATGAGCATGTTAGTCTTAATAAAGCGTGGATGACTCGTTATAGCGATTTACTCACGAAAATTGTAACTAATCAAGAAAGAATAAATAAAACATTAGAGCAACTTTTAGATAAGAATGCTGCTAGCGATTTAATAAGATTCGCGAAGTTTGCGCAATTATTAGTAATAATTAGCGATAACATAGATGACGTATTCTTAGAGATAACTAAAATAGAAGATACCTTAGCTTTTATACGTGCATCGAGCACTCATCATAGTATGTTAAGCATAGAAAACTTAAGTAATATGATTACTAGATTAAAAACCATATATAGTCCAAATCAACTGTTAGATGCAGATTTAAGAGAATACTATACAATCATTAAACCTGGTTACTACTACATTAATAAAAGAATAGTTATAATATTTGACTGCCTCATTGGCCGAGTGGTCGCAAGTGCGACTGCCGGGCAAGGGGTCTCGGGTTCGATTCCCGGGTCGGGCAAAGTATTACTGGGGTTTTTTAAAAATCTCAGTAGTAGCACGGAGTCTGGAAATGTGCCCGGTATATGGCAATAGGCTCACCCCCTATTACATGGGACTCATAACATAAATAGTGAAAAGTGGGTGTTACTTCTATGTGCACCTCTGCCTACCCCTTCGGGGATAAAAGGCGTGATGTTATGTTATAATATTTAAGTTTCCCATTATATCTTTAGATAAATTTGAATTTTATAGATTAGCCATAGTTCCCAATAAATTCATGTACACCTTTATCCCTCCTTACCCTTACCTTGCAACCAATGGGAAAGTTTTCAAGTACATAGAGGCAGAATGCCCGAAGTTCAACCAGTATCATCTCTGCGAGGAAGGAATCGACCGCCAACCGACGAGAGGACATCTAGACTGCATCCAAGAACTAATCTTTAATCAATCCCTGAAGAAATCCTGCCTGCCTACGAAACTCACACTAGTCAAAGAAGCTATGGAGCAACTTGACGACAGACGCTACACACTTACCTTTCCACGACCAACTCGGACGGAGCTGCACTGCGATCGCCAAGAATTCATCTCTCTACACGGAAGTTATCTGGCTACTATCCCGCAGAACTGCCTACTACGCACTGATCAGTTCACAATCACTAACACGAACGATCATATCAAAGGACAACCTCTAAAGATAACCGAAATACCAATGAACTTAAATCTAACTGAAGAACCGATTCCACACCTGAAATTAAATTCGTTGCATCTGAAAAGCCTTCACGAGATCGAAGATAAAATACTCATGCAGAATCCCGTGCAACTGGAACATACACAGTTATCGCAATCATTCTACCACACAACGATACCACTATACGTCGTACTATTCGGTGCAACTGCACTCATTGTTGCAACCGCATTACGCCACTACAATGTTTGCACTAAATTTACGAGGCCGCAAGCAAATGATGAGATCACCGAGAATCATCCACCAGAGCCATCGGCCGCCGGAGCAGATACATCTACAGTCACCGAGAATCAGATGCCAGCAACATTCTCGCTCAAATTGCTCAAATAGTTGCTGTTCTGAGGGTGGAGGTGTTATGTGCCCTGCCTATACCAAATCCATTGAATAGCGACATGATAGCCAATGACGCACAAAGCGACACATTTACGGAATATTGCAACACCTAATATGCTGAGTCGACTCCTCGTGTCGCCGCCTCGTGACTTACTTCCACAGTGCTGATGTTGCATCTGTATTTTACGTAGAATTAATTCAGACTATAATATGTATTCATAAAATAATTCACTTTGGTACTAGCATCGTCCAAGTCTACACATAAAACTATTGTAATTTTTAAATTAATTAAACTTTTATCTCTAAAAGTTTCGATTATTTCAAAGTCCTCCGGCTGTCACCTACATAATTCAGTCGATCCAACAAAACTATGTAACTAGAGAATTGTATTGTAAACTTGAATGAGAAGGAGAAACCTATGGAGTTTTTTACCAAGTAGCGAAGCTTTTAATTTTTTGATGACGTTCAAAAGTTCCTTCCTTGTCTAATTGAAATAAATGATTTGGACTTTAACTTTTGACTTTGAATTAAATATATCTATTGTAGCGTTGATTATGAAGTAAATGTGTTATATGTATATTTCTGGTAACAAAAAATCAAACAAAGACATTGTTAAAATAATGTAAGAACTGATTTTTGATACTAGGGACGACTTCAGTATTTACTGAATACAAGATTTTTAAAAATGGAAAAACCATATAATTATTCCTGACTTTAGTTTCTTAGCAGTCGACGTACTCGCGACTATTCTTCTAAGCATATATAAAATACACAGTGCGAAGTAGGTATCCTTGATTCACAAAAATATCGAGACAGTGCTAGAGACTGTGTTTAGACAGACTTTTGTTTGAAACCTCATTTCCAGTTTACCATTAATCATATCTTGAGAATTTTCAAATCCCTTTTATCTGTGTACCTAACTAGGAATACCGACGAGTGTAGTTACCTAAGATAGGACATAAAGTACAATTTCAGATAAGATTTTCAGCACATTAGGTAGGTACCTAGTTTGTTTTTCAACAAAGAATGTACCTACCTAGGTATATTCTTTGTACAAATGACATTGCAGTTACTAGGTACTTTTTAGGTGATAGATTTAAAAGACTTTTAACCTTATCACAGAACGATAAAGTTAAAGGTTCATTGAACAATTTCAGGTGTAGAGTAGCTTGATGTGCAGGCTGTCTAATGTTAAGAATTGAGTCATGTTGTAGGTCAGTTAGTATCTGAAGATAAATTGTGAGTGTTTGTATACTTAAAAATGGATTTCAAGAGTGGTTTTAGGACGTTCAACCACCTTCAGGCAAAGAAATATTTGCCTGCCTATTGGGTTGTTTACGGTATTTTGAAAACTCTTATTAGAAGTAGAATAAAGTGTTTGGAACCCATGGCAACAAGACCAGTCCCAGACAGACCGACACCAGAGGTGCCAGAATAACGTTGCTGGCCTTTTAAAATGGGACCTACATTCTTTTAAGCTTTCTGTACTTACGATAGGCTGCATTAGAGGTCCACCGCTGTCTCCTTGGCAGGCATCCTTGCCTCCCTGCTTGTACCCCGCGCAGAGCACACGCTCGTCGATCTTCTGTGCTTTGTAGGCGCTGTACGCCTGCATACAGAAGTCGTTGCCTACAACTGGCAGTTGTAACACTTGGAGATGTGTTGCTGCTGCACCACCTGGAAAAGAAAAGACGATTATGTCCTCTATTTTATCTATCACATCAACAGCCCGTGAAATAAATAAACAAATATGTAGTTCCTTAGTCGGCATTTAAGACACCGACCCAGTTTTCGTATTCTTAAGTGCTAATTAAAATGTATGACACACTTTCAGATCTGAGCTCCATCAAGGAAAAAATAAGCGCCTATGTAATAATAATAAGAGATAAAAAAAGTACCTAAAACAAACCAAACAAGGCCAGAATTTCCAGTAATTGTTGTATTTATCTAAGATAAACTTAATAATATCTCAATTATGTATTAAATTAGTTATTATTAATACATATTACGCCCAGATCATGTTTATCTAATCTGAGATAAAGCTACATAAATATATGTATAAAGTGAATCAGATGGGTTGACGATGCAAATTATATTATCTTTCAAGTGTATGATTCATTGTTCACAGCTATCACATCAAAAGACAAAACACTTTATTTTTTTTAAGGCGTTTCTTATGACTAACGTCCTTTTGTGTTCGTTAATTCGATTGTTTTAATTTAAATTCTAATGTTATAATTGCATAGATGTCAAAATTGAAATTCGAATTGGTGGTTACGTTCGAATTTTTCGCTGCCATGTTGGAAATTCTGACCAATGGTAGCACGTATGGAGATTATCGTAATGTAGTGTCGTCCAATCACAAGACGTTATTGGCTACCATTGTTACACTGCACGTCGCTACGCCACGTGATCGGGTAACTATTTATTCAGTTGATGATGCATGATTGCATGCAAGACGCAAATTTTTTGATTTTTTTCTTTGCTCGATGTCCTTCGTATCAGATTGCGTATTGATTACAAAAAGAAATATGTCTCCCTATCTATTTCCCTCTAGAAATCGGTTGGACAAAAATTATGTGTGCACTTTATCTCATTTCTGGCCATAACAAATTGGTTATGTGTTCCATTGGTTATCACGTGGATAGTTTGCCAGATTGAATTTCAACAGTACTTGTTTAAAAAAAATTTCTAAGATAAATCTGATATGTGTAAAAATATGAAAAAAGACTTTGGGAAATATTATCATTTTCACTTTTATCTCAGTTCATGCGTCATATTTGTTGCCATCAGACTGCATTTTAAATTTACTAATAAGTCCATCAATCTGTCAGTGTAAACAGTTTATTGTCTCCACTGAAACCTTGACTAAATGCATATATCAGTTTTGGCAGGCGCATCGACTTAATTGATATAAAAAGTTGAATATCATAAAAAATAACTGGAACACATCGGTGTGCTATCGGAGTCTATAGGCTGGGTTCACCATACGCTTCTCTCCTATGAATGAACTCTGTTTAATTCGTGCTAAGGTTGGTTAATGAGTACATATAGACTAACTTAAAACCGTGGTTATAAAGAAAGAAGGAAAGAAAAAGCATTTATTTTGACAGTATGTACGCACACAGATACAAAAATAATGTAATTGGGTACTTACCTTAACCAAAAATAAATTATTTCGACTGTTCAATACAATAAAATATAAAAAAATAATCACACTTTCATTAAGACCTTTTCGTATTTTTCCAGCAAAATATTAAGAAATTAGTAGGTATGCTGCTTGACGCTAAAAAAACGTGACGTCACAATACACATTCTCGTACAAAACTCATAGAAAACTGTCGTTTTTGACAGTTCGTAAAAAGTATTGAATTTGACTAGTTGGTAAGTACCCAATTGTGTAATATGTAATTTATTTATCGTAATGTAATTTGGCTAAACTTACGGAATTCCGTGTGTCCCCATCCGGCAATCAAAGGGTTGTAGTCCTCGAAGGTCGTTGCTCTTAGTTTTTCGTCTTTGGGGATACAGATCGGCTTTATCAAATCTGTAATGGAGAACACAATAATATATCCCGTACATTAATATGTACATAACATCTTTAACCTATATATATATATATATACATATATAACTAGCTGAGCCAGCAAACTTCAATAGCCTGAAATTCTTTTACTCAACTTTTAAACCTGTCCTGGACTTCCACAAATAATTCATGATCAAAATTAGCCAAATCGGTCCAGCCGTTTTTTAATGTTAGCAAGACTAATGATCAGCAATTCATTTATAGATATATAGCTAGCTGAAGAGGCAAACTTCCTACCGCCTAAATTTCGCTCACCTTTCAAACCTTCCAAGAACATTTCAAGACCAAAATTTGATCAATAGGTTTAGCGAGACTAACAAACGGCGATTCATTTTTATATATAAGATTTATATTTAAAAATAAGTGTGGGAGAACCATGCTCGGCACGAATGGGCCGGCTCGACCGGAGTGATACGACGGCCTCACAGAAAACCGTGTTTCGTCGTGTGAGTGAGGTTACCGAAGGCCCAATTACCCTCCCCTTCCCCAATCTCCCCAATCCCTGAATCCCCAACGATCCTTAAACTCCTAATCCCCAAAAGGCCGGTAACGCACTTGTAACGCCTCTGGTGTTCCAGGTGTACATGGGTGACGCCGATTGCTTACCATCTGGTGATCCGTCTGCTCGTTTAAAGGCTTATGCCATAAAAAAAAGGGTAGTTGAGGGCTTTCTAAGCGAAAACTAATGGTGAAAATTCCATGATATAGAATCTTTCGTACATAAAAATAACATAGTATCAGTATCGTAATTTTATCGTTGTATTTAACTAAAATAAAGAAAGGTGTGACTAAGTATTGAGTACAAAAACCCACACCTATAGATAGATATCAGTCCCTTCTTATGATCTCACCTTTTTTCAGTACATCTGATAATTATGTTATGTGCCAAATATACAGTCTCGGATATCGTTAATTGATGATTGATAGAAAAGTTAACATTCAGTACTTAGTTAAATGAAACCTACACTTTACTGCAGGTCTATTGGTATGGCTGGAAGCGAATGCCCATGGCATTAACCTTTTACACAAGTATATGCATGAATCCGTTTAAAATGAAATTAAATAAAAAATGTTTTAAATAAAAGAGATCAAACCTGAATGGCTACAGGCTCATTTGTTGAATTTTTGGTATCTCATTAACTTATTTTCACTCTTCAGCAGTTTTAGTTTTGTCTTTCTTTTTTATTTTTAATAAATGCTTTTTAATTTAGTTGCTTTTAATTTGTATGTATCATATCGTATCAGTTACCAACGCCCAGGCTTTGTAAACCATGCCCTAAGTATAAAGCTTACATTGTAAATACCATTACTAGAAATTCTAGAATTCATTGAATTCAGAACATCTAATAACATCAGAAGAAGATAATCAGAATACCAAAACAAAAGACATTCAGACACAATGTAAACTGTTTAATGAATAAATGAAATTAAATGAAATTATGGCATGCGGTGAACGTACCGGTGAAAGTAACTTCATGATCCAGTATCAGGATACCGATGTCATTGGTGAAGGAGGTAGCACTGTACTGCTCGTGCTTGACCTTCTGCTTGATGAGCACGTCCAATGGAGTTGCACCCTCGTCCTCTTTCGCCAAGTCCAGCTCACCTAGTCGAACTACGTAACTGGAAATAGAGATGTCATTTTAATTAGAATATTGAAGCTTTTGAACGTTAGGGCCATTGTAAAGTCAGAGCTTTCAAATAACCTTTGTCTATACAGCGCTTTTAAGTGTGGGAGAGCCATGCCTCGAATGGGACGACTCGACCGGAGTGATATCACGTCCTCACAGGAAACCGGCGTGAAACAACACTAGCGTTGTGTTTCGTCGTGTCAGTGAGGTCACCGGAGGTCTAATTAGCACCCTCCCCAATCTCCTCAATCCACAAATCCCAATCCTTGAATTCCTTATCCCCAAAGGGCGCTAAGCTTTACTGACAGATAGACGGACGGATAATTCAATTGTTGACGTTTCAAATTAAGGATTAATTGAAATAAACGCTTTGATTTTGGAAAATATTAAGAAATTCGTTCGGATGGATGAATATACATATATTTATATCAAAGTTACAATTGGGGAAACACAGGTGTATTATAATAATTTAGATCGTATCAGTAGGTACTGTTGTGTCTGCGTTGTTGATTCTAATTAGTTGGCACAAACAAACAGAAGTTGTCACAATGTTTTATGTATCAAGGGACTCAGATCATGATTAATAACATCACGACTTTTACCCCCGAAGGTGTAAGCATAGGTGTACATTACGGCAGTTACCACTGTACAATGTAACGCTCACTTTTCACTATTTATGTAATAAGTCCCATATTACAGGGAGTGAGTCTATTACAATATACCGGGTACAATTCCAGACTCCGTGCTACTACTGAGATTTTTTTTTTAAAACCTAACTAGTGATACTGTCATTGTCAACCCTTAAGGAAAATGTTTAAATTGCGCCATAATTTTCCAAAGCCTGTAATTTCAAATCAAGAAAAAAATAAACTTAAGAACTATAATAAACATTACCTATCCAATTAATTTGCTTTGTCTTATCAATGACAATAATTTGGCGTATCAGAGAAGCTTTGTACAATCTAGTCTGTTATGCAAAATTCATATTCATGTTATCTTATTTACGTTTTTATCGGTAATACATCCTGAGAGTCATATAGTATGAATCATTTGGCTCGTCTCAATGTACCTAAATGAGTACAGAACGTCTGAATCTTCAAAGGGTATTTGGAAAATACTGATTTAGACTTGTAAGTCATATAGATTAGTTGTTGATAAGGATTGACTTGCAGTTCAAGTGTTTAGATAAGGTATTACATTGACATCATTGAACTATTGTGGCACTTGGTCAAGAATAACTAGCATATAAAGTTGTTTAATGGCTACTATGCTCAGCTGGACGGGTAAATGTGTTTGTTCTAAGTACATGGTGTTGTCTTTTATAGTCTTAAACAACTTTTGTAGATTCTTAATTTTACTTGCATAGAAATCTCTATATATATAATTCTTCTGTGAGTGTGTACATCACTGAACTTCTCTCAAACGACTGGACCTTGATGAAATTTTTTGTGTGTGTTCAAGGGGATCTGGGAATGGTTTAATGGTGTAGATTCACAAATCAGCCCGGCAGATAGCGCTGCAGTCGATGTTTAGGTTATTTATCCTAAACAACTAATTTAAAGGTAATTTTTGTTTATACATTCAAGTGGATATGCAGGACAACGTCTGTTGGGTCCGCTAGTTGTATATATATTTTTTATATTAGATGGGCCTACGTTTGACCACTATCTCGACTGCTAGTAAGCGATGATGCGGTCTAAGATGGAGTACGTCGCCCCATAAGCAACCTATTCAGTCGGGCTTTGAAGATACCCAGGTTATACCCTGTTATATTTTCTCGGAATAATAAGTAACCTATGTTATGCTGTTTCTAAGTCCAATTAAGTTATAATAAGTGCCTTTTGACACGTGCCGGTTGCCGGGTAGTAGGCGCAGGTACCCGGCGGCGCAGTGTCTACAAATTACGCCGTTCGGTACGTGTGAAAGCTACAGTACATGGCTTCGGATACCAGGCAAATGGAACGAGTGAAAAGACTCTTATATTATGAAAATTTTACGAAATATAATACGACCCGGCACGGCAGAAATGGAGTGAGTTTTGGGGCTCAGTGATACATAATATCACGCCTTTTATCCCGGAAGGGGTAGGCACAGGTGCACACAGAAGTAACACCCACTTTTCACTATCTATGTTATGAGTCCCATTTATTATGGGGTGAGCCTATTGCCATATAAAAAAAACATTAGGCTCAGTGATATGAAACTTTATAATACCGCTATGACATTAGGTGGTATAGGTACCTATTGATTCATTTGAGTACCTACCTAACTCCTTATCAAAATACTGCAGGTGGATACAGATATGCCACATCCTATAACTTACAAATGAAGCCGGTTACGTAATGTTTATGTACCGACAGTAGGTAGGTAGGTATTTGTGTTAACTTGACAGCTGATGTTTACTGATATTGATACAATCATTATCTTGTAACCAGTTTAGTCAACGTGCATCGGAAGCCATTACAATTAAATTATAACTCCATTCATTACATTGTATCACCCTTTTGATAAAGAAAATGGGTTAACAAGAACAATTATTGACATATTCTTCCTTTCCTCTTTTTTTTTGTCTCTTTTGTGAGATTAGTCGTTATAATCGGAAATGCAATGTTAAAGGGAATCGTAAATTCGATGGCGGATCTCGTAGGAGATATCTAAGTAACATACCTAAATAGTTTAAGTGGGTTCCTAAGTGTTTGCTAACTTCTCCGGCCACTGTAAGCCCGGCCTGCGGACGGCGAGCACGGGTGACTCGCGCCGTTGGTTCTGGTCGGGCGGCCCAACCAGTTGGTCTCATGCGCCTCAAAGAGCCATCAGACCACCATAAATGGGGCCCAATAGGGCTGATACCGATACGGAGCCGCGGAGGACTTAACGGGTTGCCGGGGCTTCGGCGCAAAGTGCAGGAGTAGGAACGGGATGGGTCACCCGGGCGAGAGAAGTAATAGGATGATTTTCCCCGGTCAAAAAAATAAATAAAAAGTGTTTGCTAACTTCTAAAAGATGCAATAATAAATTGTTTCATGTAGGAATCGAAACCGCTTGATTCATTGTTCATTCAGTTATTAAACATTTTGTTGATTTCTTGAGTGTAAGCATCTCTATGTTTCTTAGAAATTTTGTTCACGACATCATTGAACTACCCAATTAACTGGACACGGGTAAACACAGTGCTCTACTATGTCTCACGACTCATCAGCATTACAATCATTATTTCATATGAAATTCTAAACTAAATCATGTTTAATTTAACAGTGTTTATCATTTGTTACCACCTGTGAAGGTACAGTAAATTATATAGGGACTACTTAACTCGTCGAGTACCGTATTTATAGACACAATTAAAGAACAATAGGTCGCGGTCACCGGTGACCGCTTGGTGTTTGACAGTTTAAGTATTTATTTAATCAGAGATTTGTTTCATTTCTTCCAGTACCTACCGTGTTGATAATCATAGGTACCTATGATATTGCCGTTTCGTATGGTAAAATTTACACGATTTTATTATTTTTTATTTGTATTAATCAAAGTAATTAATTACCCATGCAATCAATACATCTTTGTTAACGCAGTGGCAGTATATTAATGCCCTTCTTGTAGACGTCAGCTGGACGGAAAGCAACAAATTCTTCAAAGGCATATTGAACTGCCCCTCGGTGATTGAATTGGCAATTTCATAGACCTATGTATTATTATTTTTGTTATGTATAGAATTCTTTTATGACAGTCTCTCAAGTAGCATGAGCTTAACAATTTTTACAGAGAGATAGTACAGAAAACAAATATGTTAATGTGTAAAAAATATTGTTCAAACAACGATGACTGTTTGATTCTTACACACTGTAACTACATGTATCTTAATGTTACTCGTATTTTTACAAACAGTAGCTAAAAAGCCTTTTTTCTTTAAGGGTGGAAAATCATCGAATGGCTGCTCCCGCCTGGGTGAGGTGGGAGGGAGTGTCAGACTCTTACTGCCTAAAAACCACCCTGTTACTTCTCCTGCATGTCGAGCCGGAGCCCCGGTAACTCGTAATTTCTAATATCCTAAAACATTGTTTTCATATTGCGGCACATTATGCCACTGTACAATGTAACACCCACTTTTCACTATTTATGTTATGAGTCCCATGTAATAGGGGGCGAGCCTTTTGCCATGTAACGAGCAAGTTTCCACACTCCGTGCTGCTACTAACATTTTTTTAAAACCCAGTAATAATTTGCCCGATCCAGAAATCGAATCCGAGAATTACCTGGCAGTCGCATGCGACCATTCGGCCAACAGGCCAGTGTACTTCTGATACATATTCTTGAGAATTATATTTATGTGTATTGGTTTTAATTCTGTTTATTTCCAACACATAGGTAACCTAGTAATCTAAATACAATGATTTTCACTGACTACAGAATGCGTGGGAAAATACACGACGCGAATAGTCATTCTTGGAATCAACATCGATACTTCGCGTTCGATAGTCAGCAAGTCTTTAATTATGTTAATGACAATTTTATCGATTACCTATATCATGTCGTATATCTATTCGATTAGCACGTGTTTGTCTGCATATGGAACAATACCAATATATTGAATGCGTCTAATCAATTATCAACTTTCCACTTTTGAAAATAGAGTTGGATTTCAGTTTCCAGTTTAGGTTAGGTTGATATTCTATTGTAGGTATACCTATTTTAAAACCTTTAATCCCCTTTATTGTCCATTTGTTTTGTTGTATGACTTCTTATACCTATTGAATTGATTAGAAATAACTTCTGTTTCCTTTGAAAGATAATTTTGTGCATGACACATGCTATGGCGCACGCGACGACAAAGACGTTGTTCTTGGAAAACGTGGTCCCTTAATATATTATACTTTTTACTCGCTGATCCGGACAACTTCGTATCGTCTTTCTCACCTTACCCTTCCCTGGAGTTCCACGAACATTTGCGCGCTGCGCACACTCAACCTCATAGCTGAAGACGTTGATATGTTT